ATGGGGGGGGGGCTGTCCCTCCACCCCCCCCCCGGCCAAAAAAATGAAATTTCGGCCAAAAAAATGAAATTGCTTAAACGTTGCTGGAAAGATGCGTTTGGGGGCCCTAGGGCACACTCCAAATCAATATCTGGATAGATGTGCTATTAGAAAGAGAAATTCCTACGAAAATTTAAGGTAAAATCACACCAAAAATTAATGTCTTTTCTCCCAAAATGGATGATTTTGCAAAAATCTTCAAAATTGTGCGTGTTAAAATATTGATTGATGTTCCTCTTGCATCCAGATGGACTGCTGCCCTGTTTGGAGAAAGGTCGATTTTTGGCCAAATTTGACGACCCCTTGCATTTTTTTTCCAATTTTGGCCAAAAAATGAAATTGCTTAAAAGTTGCTGGTAAAATACCTTAAGGGCCCTAGGACACACTCCAAATCGACCCCCCCCCATGGCATTTTAGAATTCAATCCTTTATGTACATTCTTGTGTTCCACTTGACTTTGTTTTCAAGTTTGTATTTCCAGTTTTAAGAGTGAGGGGCTTTGTTTTTCCTATTTTGCGAATTACTATATTTATTGGGAATGTTCACAATTAGAAACGTTATTTGAAAAATGTAGGCCGATATTGTATAGCCTATGGCGTTTCTTGCGTCCATTGAAAATTGCACCATTAATAATGGTGGTCGTATTTATCGAACGAAACTTAATTTTGATTATTATTAAATATTCATTGATTCATGACAAAGACCTTTATTTCGTTTTTAATACTACCGGAGACATGCCGAGCAGATGTAAATATCAAACCAAACCAAAGCATTAAACAAAAACAGAGGCTTTTTTTTTTTAAAAATCAAAAAGTTATGTGCTAGTCAAGCTTTCAGGGATCGGTCTGAGCCATAACAATGCCCCAGCCAATCCCTTAGTTCTCTTCCGGGGTCTCGGCGTCCCCGACCAATACACACTTCCTTCCCTGTCCATCCATGTAACCCCGGAGGGCCAGGCACCATGTAAAAGCAAAGAGCTAAGGGAGGAACAGGGCGGCCCCTAAGCCCTGATCCTCCGAGTGGACCACATGCCCTGAACCTGTACGAAGGCGCCAACCTGGAACTCGCGGACAGTACCAGCAGCAGTGCTTACCGATTAAGCTAAGGTACTGTTGGTGATTTACGACGGGAAATTAAACATCTTATAATGACTGAATGCGCGCGTCGAAAAGCAAAAAGACATCACCGACGGGATTCGAACCCGGGTTCCGCGATTTGTAGACGGCGAATCTAACCACTAGGCCACTCCGCTTCCTTAGAATTCTGCTCAAAAACGATTTGTTTGAATAGGCCGAGAAACACTGAACATTGTTGACGGAGTGCATCTGTTATAGCTCCATGGACGAACAAAAGTCGATATTTCGTGCAACAATGAGCCAACTGTTTTCATTTATTACGTTTGGAAAATCATTGTATACGGCAGCCACGTTAGTCGTAGGACTATACGTGGGCTAAACCTACATGTACTTATCGTTACGCAACAATGAACACCGCGATTATGTAGGCTTTTTTGAAAAGGCATCATGTGCGTTCAGGGGCGGACCAGGAAATTTTGCGGGGGGGGGGGGTGATGTCCAGGCCCGTCCGATGTTCATATCCGATTGCGGCAGACAGGTGGACGCGTGTCATTATTAGAATAATTACACATTTTTGCGTTTTTTGACCGGGGGGTGGGATTTCGACCCCTCTGGATCTGCGCCTGACTTCTCATCTTCGTATTCAGACAGATAAAGATTCTCAACTCCGTCACTACTATTTCAACAGTATTTAGAAAAGGAAATAAACTGTTATACGGATATGTTTGTTAACACTATAATCAGACCTCTGTTCAGTTCGCTGTTTCCAACAGTCTTTCGTTAGCCTGTAATCAACATTATTTTCCTGAACAATAATGGAAGCAGTATGTTCTCATCATTTGGGTCAATGGGCAAGGCAGCCCCAGAGATAAGCGGAAGGCGGGGGGGGGGGGGGGGGGGGGGGGGCTGTATTGGCCACGGCGTTTTTGTTTCCCCAAGGCGTATGCTTAAATGACAATTGCCCATAGCAGTGACAGTTGTTCCTCGTAGTGGCAGAGAACAATTGGGGGCTTGCATAACTTTTTCCCCACAAAAGATGATTTTTGCCCAAATCTTCAAGTGCGCGGGTTAGAGTATTGATTGATGTTCCTCTTGCATCCAGATGGATTTCTGCGAAAAAGACGATTTTTGGCCAAATTTGACTAAAAATGTAAGGTAAACCTCTTGCATTTTTTTCAATTTTGGCGAAAAAAATGAAATTGCTTAAAAGTTGCTGGAAAGATATTTTAAGTGCCCTAGGACACATTCCAAATCGATTTCTGGACAGATGTGCTATTAAAAAGGGAAACTCCGTCGAAAATTTAAGGTATTAAAAAGCAATCAAAATATTAATAGCTTTCCTTTCCCAAAAATTGATGATTTTTTTTCCAAATCTTCAAAATTGTGCAAGTTAGAGTATTGATTGATGTTCCTCTTACATCCAGATGAATTTCTGCCTTGTTTGGAGAAAAGTCAATTTGTGGCCAAATTTGACGAAAGATACCTAATTAAGGGCCCTAGGACACATTCGAAATCAATTTCTGGACAGATGTGCTTTTAAAAAGGGATACTCCGTCGAAAATTTAAGGTAAAAGCACTCAAAAATTAATGTCTTTTTCTCTCAAAATGGATGATTTTTGCCCAAATCTCCAAAATTGTGTGGTAGAGTATTGATCGATGTTCCTCTTGCATCCACTTGAATTTCTGCCTTGTTTGGAGAAGAGAATGTTTGGTCAAATTGGACTAAAAATGTAAGGTTAACCCCTTGCATTTTTTTTCAAAACAATGAAATTGCTTTAAAGTTGCTGGAAAGATACCTAGGACACATTTCTGGAAATCGATTTCTGGACAGATGTGATATTAAAAAAGGGAAACTTCGTCGAAAAGATAAGTACTGGGATGCTATATAAAACAAACAATGAATGTTTTGCATTCGGTGAAAGATGGAATTATTGTTCCATTCCACTCGGCGTCACCTCAGTGAATGGAACATTCCATCTTTCAACTCATGAAAATATTCTCACCATTGCACTCGTAAGCATTCATTATTTGTATATTATTCAACTCTTAGAAAACAGGTTTGTGTATCTGGTATAGGTACGTATATAAAGGTATTAAAATACTCGGAATCGTTCTATTTCTTAAAATAATCCCTTCAGTTATTCATTAACAACAGAAGAACGCTATTGGGGGTGTTCGGTGAAATTGTTTGCATTCACTTTAACGTCACATCCATTCATGGAAAAACTCAAATCTATTTGAAGGTAAATTCACAAATTTTATTTTGTTCTCAGATAGGTAAACCCTTTGACAGAAAGTAAAGTCTCTTAAAATAAAGGCTTTAAAAAATAGAAACCTGAAGGAAGCTTGACAAATTGTGATCCATCCGTCTTATCTTTTGTTTCACTTGTTCTTGTTAAGAAAGACACTTCAAACCAATTGGTGAAAAACTTTGAGTAGAGAAAACAACTGAATATTTGAGGCATGCCCAAAAACTGTACGGGCAACGTTTTTCGTCCAAAATTCATACTCACATTGTCTGTCAACTTGCACCACAAACCATTTTTTCAAAGTATTCAAAATGTTTGACACCAAACAAAACATGAAAATACTTCATCCAGCCGTTTCCACAAAATAAAATATAGATGACAGTAATATTGGGGGAAAAAAGAAACAAAACCCTTGTATTAACAAAAATACATATTCATGAGCACTAGGTACATTTAAAAATGTTTATATAACAAGCACAGAATGGATAAATAAAATATATCAACTGTACACTTCAATAAAAAATACATACATGACTGAAGGTTAGCTTCAACTACAAGGTAAATATTGATTCTATTACAGCACTAAATATGTATTGCCATTTATAGAATATTTCATATTCAAGCATGCTTATTTAATAATTACATAAGATTAACTAAATTTATAAACAAAATCAGTTGTAAGACTAGTGTTGGTCTTGTGTGAAATAAACTTAGGTATTGCCCTTTTTTAATTCCAGTGAAGTTAAAACGGGTCACCTGCAAAAAAAAGCCACGCATTGTGTATTCTTTGTGTGGTTCATATTGCCAATAAGAAATAAACTTAGGTATAAACCTAAGTTTATTTCATAAACTTGCTGATTGACACGTTTTTGCGGGGTGCATACGTTGAGCTCACCCCAGTCGACATAGGTCAGCCCCGTGCCATTCGACACAATTAGCTCTGACGTCATACTCGGGGCTCACCCGGGTCAGGCACCACAGACCCTGCTCGTGGAGCAGAGAAACTGGTGGAAATACGTCACGCATGCGTTGTTCATTCCAAGGAACGGACAAATATGGCGGCCGGACACCGGAAATCTCAAATGGACTATAATTCCAGCCCAACATTTTTGAGTTTTGCAATTGACTGAAAAGCAGAAAATGGGTGTCACGTGAGGATTGATGGCCCGCGGTCTAGGGTTCGATTAGCCCGGCTGTCATGGCTAACCCGTCTACTTTAACCCGAGTCGATCCGGGGCGAGCTACTCGAACGCACCCTTTGCTTATAACAGCTCCACTGATGTTTTCTTGTTTTAAAGTAGTGATTATAAATATCCCTTTAAATGGCTCACATTTTTGGGAGATTATATTTTGCGATAAGAAAACCCTGGTTTAATTCTGCTTTAGGAATCCAATAATATGAGGCCAAGGTCTTAGTTTATTTATGTTTGCTTTGGACACTAAAATTTTCCTAATAATTCTGGGGCTATGTAAGCCCAAAGCAAAAGACGAAACCATGATTTTGAAAAAAAAAAAAAAACCTTTTTAAAACTCGACCTTTACCCTTTCAGACATTCAATACCTGCCACAATGATAAAACAATTTGGGTGAAATGGCCCCCTTGTTGCATCCAAAGCAAGCTTCCACAAGCTTACACATGGACCCATTCAACTACAGGGGCTCACTGATTTATCCAACTTATTCAAATCAGTTTAAAAAAACCCAAAAAACTGGTAACCGAGATGGGTCTTATTTCATCCCTGTCCTGACCATCCCTCGGGGCGTGAATGAGGTTGCGCCGGTACCCCGCAGGGGCGTGGTCCGCACCCCTTGCTTCTCCTCCGTTTCCTTCAGGGGGTTGAGTTGTTGGGAGCGAGACACCGTCACGTTGATCTTGCGCTGCAGGACGTCCGTCCTCAGGTTGCGCAACTCGGTCTCTGCTTGGGTGCGCAGCTGGGGCGAAGAGAGAAAAAGTAGAAAGTTCTATAGCATGAGAACGAAGGATGGAATGACTAGTATGGACACCTTAACCTCACCTTCAAGTGCCAGGGAAAGTTGTTCTCTTAACACAGATTAGTACATACATGTGTAGCAACCACTAGTATCTATACTTGTACATTAATTTCAATTCATAAATACCTAAGACAGTTAAATCATGCCCATTGGATGAGAGCCCGTCATGTGGCCTGTCTTAAATGGATGATAAGGCCTGGCTAGCTGGTCTTAAACACTTTTCCAGTGTCCATAAAATTTGGACTCCTGTGAAATCCAGTGCCTTTTACCGTTTTAGTGGTTGTATGTCACAATCATTACGTAGGCATGCGCAATGCTTGATACATGAACCACTGAGTCAGTATTTCATAGTCCTAAATTCACATACACCGCCACAGCTGCATTCTGCGCGACATCGCACATAAGCCCGCGCCAATGTCCATATAAGGAATTGTTTTCTGACCTATATAGCTAGAGGGGTGTTTTGAAAAACATGCAGTAAATTGTTGAACAAAATTGTTGAAAATTTTGGCGAGGGTAATTATCAGCATCCAGACTCCAACCGGTCTTAAACATAGTGTTTAATACCAACCAAGCACATAGTTACTCCCTTATTAAACTGTTTCATGTGGAGACATACTCCACATGAACAGTTCTGATCTGGCTTTGCATCACCGTGTTCAGGTTCATACTTCATAACAATTATTTGGAGTACGAATTTGTTTCATTGGGAACTGAGCTGAGGCCTTGGGACCTACTGATACATTATTGTCAAGACGAACTGAGTGTAAACCTTAAACAAAGCAGCCATCGTAGAGGGTAGCGTTTTTGTAGATAGGCATTAAAACAGACATTGTGCATTCATTGTTACGGAGTTAAAAACAAAAACAGCCAAGTTAGCCCACTCAAATGGTAGGTATGGATAAGGTCTATTATAGCGTACTTTGATTTCTGATGTGAGTTTCATCTTGGAGTTCTCCACTCTCCTCCTGAGATCATCCATCTGATGCTGCATCTTGAAGATTAGGATCTTGTGATCATTCTGCAGGCACAAACAAGACAAGGAGGTAATCACGTCCACATTATTCAAAAGGCGAATTGTTATAAGGCGATGATATTCCATTTTCATTGTTTCACTCCTTTTTTCAAGATGACAACAGCATATGAATCCACAACCAATACAACTAAAAGGCAAGAAAGGGCAACAATCCAAGTGCCCTTATTGACCACAGATGGCCAGCAGTTTAACCCTTTTTTGGTCGGGCTGCACAAGAATATGTCCAGGCGTTTTAAGATTTATTCAAACAGATCACTGCTTTCATGGCTAAACAGTGGCTTTTTAATATGTACATATATGTGGTGTAACTGAGATAGGTGTGGTTACTAAAGGGTTCAGACTATTTCCTCTGAACTTTAAAGAAGTCTGTGCAAAAGAACATTTCATGTAAAAAGCACACAAGATTGTTTGGTACATGTATAGGAGTTCTTGTTACAGTAATTTTCTGCTACCATATTCGACATTGTACAGTTTAAAATTAAAGGGAATATACATCATTTGCTTTTCCTGTAATTTTCAGAAATGGATGGAATTGGGGGTTGGAAATATATAGCAAATATAGTTACACTGACTTTTTTGAGGTTTTGGGTTCAAAAATGCTTTAAAAACCAAGAAAAACAATCATTTTCCTGTAGTCTGGTTCCCTGACTCCATTTAAGAAGAAACAGAGCAGTTTACATACCGGTATATTGGGGAATTGTAAGGTCAGGGAACCAGTCTAGCTGGCTTGTACCCGTTCATAGGTGTGTAATCGATTGCAAACAAGTGCGATGGTCAATTGGGGCCAGTATTTGAAATAAAAACCAGTTTTTTTCCAACGCTGATCGGCCGATCAGCGTTGGAAATTGGTACAAAAATAGCACTTTTCTTGAAAATGACAGTATACCAGGTGCCATGATTTTACAGGATGCTTTACACTTTCATTCACTAACAGTCCAGCAAGGTATTTCAAAATGATTTGGTAGTTTTATTTTTTGATGTTTGCAAATGTTGTCGTTTCCCTTTAAGGAGCAAGAAGGGATACAGATTTCTGATAGTCCGCCACCGTCATAGGAAAATTACAACTGCGTTTTTAAGGCCATCAGGTGTGTGTGCGCGCAGTGGGCAAAATGTTCTAAACACGCGCGCTTGTTGCTCAAAATGTCTTTGAAATACGGCGAAAAAATTTGACGCCCAAAATGCCGATGCACATGGCAACCTGTAGGAATTGACGCCATTTGAGAGAGACATATCCATTGTAGATACGTGTAAGTGTTTACTGTTGCAATATTCTACGTTATTTTTTGGTTACTCTATTACCTTCTTTGAGGGTGGTTCCCGAGGCATGCCCTTGCGTTGAGGACCTCTACCTTCAAGCTGGTTGAGCAGCTTCCTGTGCTGCTGGTCCAGCTGACTCCGCAGTCGGTTGACCTGCTCTTCCAAAGGGTTAGTCTTCTTCTTCTCCTCAAAGTATTTCTTCTTCCACAGGTCCCTGGCTGTTGGTGGCAGGAGGACAAGAAACCAACGGTATATTCAGTTTACTGATTAGAATATTTAGTTTACCGATCACTGTGTTTACCACATCAACTTTGAAATATAGCTTTTTGTTAACGTTTTTAATTCCTTCGGCGACGTACATGCAAACTATGACTTTCAAGCACTTACACTAATTGCCAAATGCATGTGCCGGTAGAAAAGATACATGTAAAACATCAAATTGGTTATACAGACATCCGCATGCTCAAAAAAGTGCACCAACATTTCACTTCGAACGAACTACAGTAGTTTGCTGGCAGTGATCTTCGAACTGTCGAAAGGTGTAATTTCATTTATTTTCATATATATATTTTTTTAACAACAAAAATGAAACATTTAGACAACCATGTACAATCCCTTAAATTAATAAAGAAGAAAGAAGTTCAGAATCCGACAGTAGCTAATTTGATTATATAGTTAAAATCAATGTATACGATTGAATTAAATTGAATTTTGTTTGTTTTGCTCTTGCCATTATATTACATTGCACAAGTAGGATCATTCATTCATGACGACAATGTGCTGGAAACAAAACATTTACAAAAGCAATACATACATGTACATGTACTGTACATATGAACATGTAGACTACACATATTCATCTGGAATTCCAGAAACTTTTGAAGCATAAATAGAATATAGCAAATGGACATAGAGAGGAATTAGAAAAACATGCATGAATCTCTCAAAGTAAAATATAAATTCAAAATTAACAAGTACCGGTATTAAGGACGTTTAAGGAAAATTTAATTTTAACTAATTTTCCATGTACACGTACATTCACATGTATGAACATGTTGGGCCAATGATTTTATGTTTCAAAGGAAACTTCACGGAATTGAGTCTTGACATGGAGAAAGGATCTTTTGAAAAGAAATGCATCTTTGGAAAGTTCATTTTAGAAATACACAAAACATCACAAATATAAACGTGAATTCTTGGAAGAGTTTGTCAATTCTAAAACAGAATTCATAGCTTCAGACGTTTTTGGTCATCTAAATTTGGTGGAAACAATTTCCAAGAGACAGTTGAAATCAGTTGAAAGTCAGGTGAGATGGATTGTATGACACTGTTTTATTGCTGGAATGAAATTATTGGGACGACAAATTAACACACAATTGTCTTCTTTTTTTTCTACAAAAATCATTGGCACAGCATGCTCATACACTGTACAATGCACATGTACTTTTGAAAAGACTGGAACTAATTGTGCAACTTTGTCATACAAATTTGTCATCTAATTGTCATTAAATTTGTCATACAAATTTGTCATACAAATTTGTCATACAAATTTGTCATACAAATTTGTCATACAAATTTGTCATCAAATTTGTCAAATAATTTGTCATCAAATTTGTCATCAAATTCCCCTGATGACGTACAACCTTACAGTGCAGTAAACATGCTGGGATAAACTATCGTGAACTACAAGTTCACAATCACAAAAACTCAGGATACCTGTGAGGGTCATTAGCCCTAACTCCAGATCCTCATCTGACGAGAGGCACGCAGCGACGTCCGATCAATAAACCACACAAGAGCCATCCATGTATTAAATCAATCAGGATTTGCCAAATCTCAATGGCTGATCAACTGTCATTGGGAAGTATTGATCACGTTACTACACGGGGAGAATGACAATGGTTTGGGAGGTTGGGACGTGAATGGGTTTAAATACACAGACATGATGAAGACATGTTCCTTCTTTCAGGCAATTTGAGAGACGAGTGATCGAGAACCATTGAAGGTGATGGTGTTTGTACAGTCGTGAGATGTGTGGGTTACCGGTTTTGCACAACTTGTACAACATAAAACCTTCTTCATTAAAGTAGGTTCTGCCCTTCACCGACGTATAAACATTGTGTATACTCAGTGTGTTACCTCCCGAGTGAAATTTTTCTTCCAACTTTTTTTCCAACTTTCACTCAGGAGGTAACACACTGAGTATACAGTGTTAATACATCTGTGAAGTGCAAAACCTAATATTGATTAACATCACCCCGACACAAAAAAAATCCCATCTCATGAATAATACCTTCTTGTTCTAGTAAAAATTAACAACATAAACATACAAATGAAGAGTTCATTTGCAAAAGCCCATTAACGGCAATTTTACAAAAATGAAGAAAATCCTTCCACCTACTTCTTGAATAATTTAAAGTCTTTTTCAAATAAAAAATTGTCAAGAGTTCTCGAGAAATGATGTGCTGGGCAGTCCACATTTGTGCACAAGTAATGGGCGCTGTGATGTTTTAAAGCAGATTTTCCCAAAAGGTGAAAAAGGGATATTATTATAACTGTTCATGCAAATGAACTCTTGAAATGTACATGTACATTAATACCAAAATTTGATCTTCTCTTTTGTATTTTCAGCACTAACAAAAATAACACCAAAAAAGTAAAAGTTTCTTCTCGGTTGTATTTTCAGCACAAAGTATCTTTTTTAATTAACTTTGACAGTATTTCAAAATAAACATCTTTTCAGTCTGTCAGTGTTTTCTTGCCATTTTGCATTTGAAAAAGTTCCTGCTATAATAAAAATGTCAGGCATCTAACTTGTTACATGTATATGTTTATTTTGTTTCTATTTTGTCCACATACATGACATCAAATCAGAGTTCATGGTTTCACTTTGATGGACAATTTACAAATTTTGGAAATTTTTATTCAGAGGACTCATAGTTGCCAAGTCCGTAGCTGTAACTGCGTGCGTACTGACATTCCTATGGGTTACAAGCTTCTGAATGGCCTCAAAACAAGCCTCAAATGACCCTCACTAATGCACTGGTTAATAGTGCTATAGTGATCAATTATTCAAAACCGCGTACGGTCGGTTGATACATGTAGGGCAGGGCTGGGAGAGAAAGGCTAACATCGTCATTAGCAGTGTGTGCTTGGATTATTAATTCATTCTATTGAAATACATTTGACCGCCCGTACTTGCATTGGGTTAACTGTGGAGGAATACTGGAATACCAGTGTTTGTTATAGTCAGTGAAAGGGTGGGCGAGTGCGTGGGTGATTGGTGGGGAAGGAGACAGTTGGAGAAAGGCCGGTAGTGGAGGGTAGGGGGTTGTTTTGGGGCTTCTAGGGGGTCAGTGCGTGTAACTTTTCTTTTTTAAGCCTCCGGATTGCCACAAGATACATGTACACTACATGTACATGTACGCATAGTTTCCAGCCTCGCTGATCCAATTTTTTTTCCCGTACGCTGAAAACACATTTGGCCAAGTTTCCTTACTGTCTTGGTCTTGATGATGGAACTTTCATGGCTTTCGTTGAATTATCCGTCTGGGTTTTTCCCGCTTCCTACAACTGCCCAGTCTGTGATATTTGGGCAGATTCTACAATTTATTGCTATTTCACTTTTTTTTTAACCAGAAGGCGTGGTAATTTGCCAAGTACGCATACATTTTTCTCAACGTACTGATTTGAGACACCCACGGCCATCTGCAGATAGTGTACCAAGTGAAATAAAAGAAAATGGCAAAGTTATCCGCAATGTTGTTTTTCTTCTTCACATTACTTCACAAGTTCCCAATGAGAAATACAATGTACAGCTATTGCTATGTACATTATGCTTCATGTACATGGTCTCCTAAGCGACATTACCTTTGTTTTTGCGATCCACCGTCCGTGCCTGCAGTGTCTTAGCCTGCCTCATTAACTCCTCCCTAGTCCTCTCTAGCTCAAGTCTCATCTCTTGTCTCTCCTGTAGCTCAGCCAGTAATCTTTCACCTTTGAGAAAACAACGCATTTAATTGAAAAAAAAAAACAGTTCCCTTTATTGTCTTGAGTGAGTATTCTCCAAAGCAAGAGGAATGCAATCCTAAATTATCCTACATGTAAAAGTTTCTACCACACAAGCTATTCAATGAAGCACAAGACTTTGCTACAGTAAAGTTTAAGTCTTTTCATAATATCAACATGTACTATCTGACTACCTAGCCTATATTGGGAGCAACATTATATTGAGAGCAATATTACATAATATTCTAAATAACCCTTGTAACAATCAGTTGGCATATTTGTAAACAACCAACACTCATGTACACGAAAAATTACAAAAACCACATGTAGTATCTACAATATTATTCACATGATTGTAACACGTTACCCTGTGCAACAATGACTTGAAAAAGTGTACTTGACACAATATACAACGCTGTTTGTACGTGCCAACATACAAGTTTTGAGCCAATAAGTGCCATGCAACATGTGCAAAGAGAAAAGTAAGTGCAGAATAATTGAACAGCTATAAAACTGAAAACTGGAAACAACAGTGCACTAATAAAGGTTTGTGTTCTGTTTATATTTTTCGCTGTGTCCTTTTTCCTGTGAATATCATGTTTTCTGTGACTTGGCTAAGATCTTCATTCTGAAAGTCACGTAAAATTCACTTTAGGGGAGAAGAGGTACAGGCACAAATGTTCAAGTAATTTTTCCCTTAGTAAAAGTTTTTTGAACAATTTGCTAGGAGTGATCTGAGCTTGACTGTCAAGACCTGCATAAAGTAAAATAAAATTTCCAATTTGAGTGAATGACAGTGTAGTATCTACATATTGACAAGTATGAAATTCCAGCGTCTGTACACATGTGATATCTGTAACAGAGCTTTCAATAACTGTGAATTTTTTAAATCTTAGACATCCATCATCTATTAATGCCCCAGAAGATTACAGACTAGGAGATTTGGATCATTCCTCTGAATAATTAATTAAATATATGTATCATGGTTCATTGGCTTTGTTATGTTCAAAATTTTACTAGCTCCGTTAAATGCAATGCCATAATCAATGCAGTAATCACCCCCTTTATATCTGACGAACAAACCATGAGTTGAATACGTGGATAGCTTTAGGTTAAAAGTTTTCCATGCTTTCAAATTAATATGACACTTCAAATACTTTGGAAAAATTTCCAGCAAAGTGCACTCTCTCATTTCACCATCTGCCAACATACAGTTACATGAAGCTGAAGGAGCTACGGTTCACTCAAACTGATATCTTCTCATGGTAAATCGCAATTAATTCCGGCTTCTTTTCTTTTCCCCGTATTTCACCAACCTTTTAGTTATCAGAGATACTCTACTTACGTTCCAATTCAAGTCTCTCCCTTGCTGACTGGGTCATTTGGCGAGTTTTCCCCGATGTTCTTCCCTCCCCTACACTCTCCATATCCTACACACACAAAAATGTTAAATACATTTTATGTGATGACATATACAGTCACAATGTTCAGTGCATTCTACTTATCATTAGTAAGCAGCCATTCAGAATTTCCTTGTGACTAGCATTTATCCAGTAGGCCCGTGCGGTATTGGAGTTTGAGAGTCCACTGTACACCGTCACAAAAATATTGCAATATGCGGTATTACCAGGTACTTTCTCATGCTTCTGGGCGGACTAATTTTATGACACGTGGCGTTAGGGAAACTATTAAACGGGTACCTTCGGCAAAAATTCATAGGCCCTGCTAGATGACTAGTACATGTAAGTACAATTTCCACCTTATCTATTATGACCACAAAAAATTTAAGCAATTATTGATATAGTGCAGTTCCGGCTAAGTCGTTTTTGCCAAATTTTTAAAGAACTTTTGTACATGCTGCACACATCTGGCCACACTTAAGAGGGAAAGTTGCGGTAATGATGTTGCATATCAAGGTCGTCAGTATTTTAGTATTTGCACATCGTTTGGTATTGTTCGGTATCCAAAAAAGATACTATACAGCATTATTGAAATACAGTCCAAGTCTAATATTCAACACATAACAACTCACCCTCGAAGAAGCTACACCACTTTCTGCATCCTCCAATGACAATCTACCGTCTCGAGTTCTCTCTGACTGCCTTGTCCTTGTTTCACTTCCCAAGTCCCCAGTGCGTTCCCTCCTGACTGAGTCCCTTGCGTAAGGATCGTATAAGTCTTTTTGCTGACTGCTACCGGCCCGCTGACTGAGAGGGGTGAACTGCTCCAGTTCCCTCCTCCGGGATTGGTCCCAGGACATCTGACGGCTCTGCCGGAGCTCGTCCGCCTGCCGTTTACGGATCTCCTCTTCCTGTTCTTGCTCCTCTGCTTCCTCCTGGAGGCGCTGCCGCTTAGCCTCCTCAGCTGCTGCTGTTGCTGCTTGCTGTTTCGCTTCTGCTTCTTGGGCTGCCGCTGCCTCCTTGCGTCGCATCTCTAGCTCCTGCTGCCGAGCTTTCAAGAGTCTCTGTCTCTCCTCCTCCTCTTTCTTCTCTCTTTCCCATCTCTCAGTTTCTCTCTGCTGCGCCGACTCCAAATGCCTCTGCTTCTCTGCGTGCTCTCTGGCCGCTGCTTGCTGTATTTGACGCTCTCTCTGTCTGGCCTTCTCCTCTTCTTCTCTTTGTCTGTCCGCCTCTTGCACTGCGGCATTTGATGCCAGTCGCTGTCTTGGACTGTCCCGTTGCTGGTGCACTCTGTCTAGGCCTGCTGGTTCTGCTGACTGTAACCTGTTATCCAGGTCCTCGGGTCTTCCCCTTCGAAATGTCCTTGGAGTCTGCTGCTTCTCGGCAGTTTGCTTCCTACATAATACAATACAAAATGATAACAATCCGATTGATAATGATATGACAGAATGTTAAATGTTTTATTCTTTATCCATAGTTTATGTAAATGCCGTCTTGATGATGATTGATAAGTCCTGCCAAATTCTAAAGAAAATATCTGGTTGTTAATATGAAGCTCTCGGTCGCAAGCTGATGTGAATGAGTTTTGTTGAGTTATTGATTGCAGCATACCGGTACCTGTAAATGTCTGATAGTATTTCAGTTGAACTCTGCTCACAGTAATTAAATGTAACTTAGGAAAAAATACATGCACAGCTCAGAATATTTTTGCCAGTGCTTAAAGAGGTTGTGGAATGCTCGAAGACATTTCCGTCATTTTTCGGGTATATGTAGCCCAAGGTGTGATGAAATAAAACGACTATTGTTTCTGTCATAAAATGAGTACAACAGGTACTTTTGAGAGCTGTTTTTCAAGTCCTGTCATACCTGTTTCGACCCGAACGTGCAATTTGTGTAAAAGTCGTCGTTGCGGGCAGCAAACATAACACAGTAAATCGTGACGTAATAAACAGGACTCCCGATGCAGAGTAGCAGGAACGAGTCCTGTTTATTACGTCACGATTTACTGTGTTTTGTTTGCTGCCCGCAACTACGACTTTTACACAAATTGCACGTTCAGGTCGAAACAGGACCTGAAAAACAGCTCTCAAAAGTACCTTTTGTACTCATTTCATGACAGAAACAATAGTCGTTTTTATTTCATCACACCTTAGGCTACATATACCCGAAAAATGACGGAAATGTCTTCGAGCATTCCACAACCTCTTTAAAGACAGGTATACATGTAGTAGTGCTTAAAGACAGGTATTGAGGACAGGTCACTCTCACATGTGGACCACAAATTCAAGGGGGAATCTCTTACAAAATATCTGTGATAGGAGGATGTTATCTGTAAACCGATGACTGACCTTTCCAAAGAGTCACTCCGTTGACGTCCATAATCCAGCTCATTTCTGTCGGGGGTGAACTCCGCAATCCCAGAATCCTGGTTGGTGTCGTTGGTGTAGGTATCCAGGCGACCTGACTTGAGGGGTGTGGACGGATCTATTCCCTTGACGGCTTGGAGTTGTTGGAGGTGCAGAGGGGGGACACCACCTGGGGTAACATTGGGGGTTTGGGAAGGGGTGGGAGTTGTACCACACGTGGATGGTTGGTGCTCGTTGTGAAAAGCCCTATAGGTTTGAGGCATGGCCCAGTGGGCCGAGCCGGGCGATTCCGGGTGTTGGTTAGTAGAGGCGCTAGCTGATGGTGGTGGAGAAACATTAGTTGGGTTAGGGTTAGTGTGGACAGAAGAGGAGGCAATGTTTTGGTTAGACTGGGGATTGAAAACGAGGGGATTTGTTAGAGTGGGGTTGGAGGGTTTGGTAGGCTCTGGGGGTAGGACGATGGTGGATACGCGACCGCTGCTACCAGCGCTGTTGTTGGAGGAATTTGGGCTTGAGTCTGCGTCAGAGGGCTGAGTCAAGCGAGGGGGTAATGGGGTGAGATGGGGAAGGCTGTGATTGGACGGGGATGATTTTGGGCTACTCTGTGGTGAGCCGTGTTTGTTTTGAAGCGGGCTTCTTGTCGGCTGGGTCTTTCTTCTGGGAGGGGAAGTTAGGTCTTGGGAAGGTTTGCTGCTTCCAGGACTTATTCTGGAGTTTATGGTGACTAGGTCTGGCATTAGGTTAGTCTGTGAACCTCTGTGCGTTAGAAGAGGAAGTCTGGAAGGTGATGTGCTGTAGATCGGCGAGTGATCTGCAAACGAATTGTGTACATGATCTGATGTGTTGTGGGTATTATTTGTGTTTGTGTGGTGCTGATGAAAGGCGTGTGATGATTGGCTGTGAGGGTGTCTCACAGATCGGGGACTCTGATTGGGCAAGGGAGTATCCATGGAGATGTCTGGGAGGTGATTAGAGTGGACGGTCTGGCTGGTGTCCGAAGCATGCTGGACACCAGCGTCCCTCTGTCCGACATGCAACGGACCAACGGGCTGCTTAAATGCACCTAAAGTGGTGAGAAGTTAATGAGAACAGAGCATGCAATATGGAATTAGTGAAGCTACCACCGACACAAGGTACCAGACATGAAGATTTAAGATGAACATGTATGAGCATGCAGCAAACAGTTTACATTTGATACTGAGGATATGAAATAATCTAACACCAAACATGCCAATTAACGAACAACAAATTTATCCACACGTCAAAATTTGATAGGAAAAGCTTGTCTTCCATCAGGACTGCAGTTGCAAAACTGTCCATTTTAAGCCACTGTATTGGCCTACATGTATAATTATCACATGCTCCAAGCATTAGTAAATATTTTTAAGCAGCCCAACATCGCCAGAGATATGTTGGCCAAGAAATCTTATTATGGCTGTCCTCGTAGATTATGCAGCCTAAAAGTACAAGACTTTCTTTGCGAATACAGTGTGCATATACCTTCAAAAAGCTTCTCAAAATTCTTTGCGTGGATTATTAACACGTTTGGACAATAATGCCACAATTGAACAAAAAACACATCCTGATCAAAGCTTACCAACTCACACAACGTTGTTAGCTAAAACTTAATCTTAAAAAACTTAATCTAAAAATATAAGTCTAAAAAAAAGCTAAATAGCAACTTCATTCTTTTTTTCCTTAATGTATTTCAATGGCGAGTCTAAACTTGTTTAAAAATCGACCTACCCTTTACTTGTCCTGTTGTACTTTCTGCTGTGTGCTCCTGTCCTGTCCTAACTACCTCACTAATTCCTGCTCTGTTCCTACGCTCTTCGACTCGCCTGGTTTCCTCACTAGCTTGTCCATGAGGAAATCGAGGGTGTCCAGCCTGGTTGGACGCAACTTTGGTCTCCTTGCCTTTGTTTCCTAAGCTTGTTCGTCTCTGACCAGCAGTCTGACCAGCAGTCTGACCAGCGGTCTGACCAGTGGTCTGAACAGCAGTCTGGCCACCAGTGGATCTAGTCCCTGCATTGTCTTGGCCTGTCCTAGCCTGTCTTAGCCTAACTGATGCAGTTTGAGTACCACCAGTGGGCCCGAGAGGCTTACCACCTGCTAGTCTCCTAGCTACCTGTGGACCACCCTTCCCTGGTCCAGCCTGATGCTGTCTGCCTACCCTACCATTAACAACTCCCACTCGCTGTCCTACCCGATTCCCAACCCCTCCTGCCTGCCCTGCTTTATCGGAACGTTTCTCTATTTTGACACCTGTCTTTACCCCCATCTGTCTACCGTTCTGCCCACCAGTTTGTCTACTAGCCTGACTGCCAGCCTTGGTTCCTGCTGGTTTGACTCTACGTGGTATTTTAGACGGTTTCTGCCTACTTTGTTTATCTAATGGGGCAGCTTGCCGTGTCCTATTTTGATCAGTTTCTGCTTGACGTATTCCAATTTTATCAGAATCTGCTGGTTCCTCCTTGGGTGAGCTAATTGCTTCCTCTGCTAAATTGTTAAGAAATAAATGTATAATAGAAAAATATGTTCTATTCATTAGCATTTTCAATTTGTACAACATTAGCAAAGAACTTTCTGAATAAAACACTAGTGCTTTTCCCAAACTCGAAACTACAGAAACACAGAATCCTTGTGAATAAAAGTATGGTTTGATAAACCCCAAAATGTCCCTTATTTTTTCTTACTCAATGTCACTATCAAGAGTTTGTTAAATCCACTTGAAAAATTCTTTCAATCAATTTTGGTTTAAAAAAGGTTTGGGCATACTGGTACAGATCAAAAGGAAAACATAATGCTGATGAACATTTTGCATACAAAAATACATTTAAAATAAATATTTGGATATACTTTTTGTTCGTAATCAAGCTTTCAACATCGAGAGCATCAAATTATATGAATTAGCATAAAAATAATCACGCCAATTCGAGCGATTCACAATGCAGTGCGCCACCAAGAGTTAGCCACGGAGAGTTCATTTTTCCCAGTGCATTGTGGGAGATGGTCGACAAATTCGCAACGCAGGACATTTGAAATTGTTAGTTTTTCCGGTCAGTGGTTTCGTAAGCGTATGATTCGAGGATCTGTTTGCCAATTTATTTTCTTGTTATCAATATGGTGTTTTTGGTAAGACGGCAGAACGCCATGCCCCAATCTATGACATACATGTATTAGCTCAAGTTGTCTACCGACACTCATTCAAATGGGCCATGTTTTGTCGACCGTAAACTTGAAAAATGGACTCTCCGTGGCAAACTCTTGGTGGCGCACTGCATTGTGAATCACCCGAATTGCCTGCATGTATTGTGTCTACACAGGTACAATTTGTTGCCATGGACTGACTTAATTATTGATCCAAGGTTCGCTTTTCCCTAAAAATTCATTTGGATGTCACCAGGCTAGAGTCAACACATTCGGTCCAGTCAATGGAACATATATGTTCAACGTACGTGTATGTTGGTATAACTGTGTATAACATTTTTTGTCGTTAGTCAGGAGACTGGGCCTGAAAAATTAATCAAACGGCATGCCCGTTATCTTTATATTCTATTCAAGAGAGCAATTTGGAGTGAACATGTATTCGTTTAGTTGTCATTAACATGATGAATTTTCTGACTACAATTGCATTCAATTCCTACCCTAAAAAAAAATATTCTCACAATTTTTTTTTTTTTTTACATGTGTACATGTAGGATAAAAGGTTTTGACTTCAGGATAAAAAGAAATCCTTCTTATTTAAAAAAAAAATCTTTGCCCATTTTCTGAAGGGAAAAACTTAGTGTGATTAGGATGGCGTATTTAGTCTTCGTGATAACAGCATTCAAACAGCCATTTTTACTTTTTCTTGGGTTACCTATAACGACTTACCGATGAGATCCATTCTTTCATGGTTAGTAAAGGCGGCCAGGTTTAAGGGATCCCTCTTGGCTTCTAGGACAAAGATTTCTGGTAAGGGAACCTGGCATGAGAAGGAGGAAAGAAAAGATAAGTTTTTCATTTTGTTAACTTCTTTAAATTAAGTTGCAAAACCATCAAATCATTAAACGTTAAAATTATTTGAATACATCTTGCTATACAGTTTTCCAAACAAAAACAAAACCACACAATGAAATCCATGTTTAAAGTCCTTTCTAAGAATATGAATTTAGAATGACATGTTCAAAATTATCTCATTCTTTTGTGTTTCTTTTTCTTTTACAGAAATCAGCAAATTACATTTTTTCAATTTTAACTAAAAATTAAATCTATTTTCACCAACCTGAGGCGGTATAAAGTTCTTGACCTTCAACTCAAACTCTTGTTTGGATTTCACCTGTAAATTGACACACAGAAAAATAGCCCATTTCCATCAAAATGACCTATTCATGTACTTTACATCTTTCCACTTTGATATTATTCACTCATAAATGCAATAACACTTTAACATACATTGTACTTGTCTAAATTCCTTGGGCCCAATATTTTGTGCAGAGCAATCTATTATTGATCTTTAAATCAATCCAAGATGCTGGATTGAATTTATCCAACATGGCAGCAAAGACTTTAAGGCAATAAAAAAGGGAAAGTAAATACAGCAAAAAGTATATAATTTTTAAGTACGTACATGTACATGTAAACTTGAAAAAAATAAAACCAAACACAACTGTTTACACTGTACAGCATGTCACACAGATTAATGAAAAGAACTTCAATATTAGAAACTTTTAGCCTATAGTCTTAACTTTTGAAATACAATCTTTCAAAATAAAACACATGTTTTATTTGAAATGTACATTTTTTATGTTTTTATAAACCTTGTTAACCACATTGGTTTATGGTTTATTTAAAAGCATTACATAAAGCAGTTAGAAACTGAATTGCATGACATTTACAACATTACAAAAAAAAAACAATTATAAAGCACAAGTAGATATTAAAAGTATTTAGACTTTGAACTAAAAAAAAAGAAGCCTCTGTATTCTGTACGAGGATAGAGTCTCGACCTTACTTGAAATACATTTCTATAGAGAAAAAAAAATGAAATGGACTTAAATTGTACATTATTGTTTAAATAAAAAATACAAAATCACTGGGCAAGAAATGGTATGCATGAATTATACATTGGTGTTTATTCACTAAATATACATGTAAACAGGCCTAAGCAACAACTTGTGAAATGGAATGAATCGTGCAATACTTCATTCATATTGTTCAAATAAAAACAGAACTTTCATTGAAATTCCAAACTGCATAACTTTTAACCAAATGCCTTTATTCATCGCTAAAAAGCTCAAGCAAAGAACATGAAGAAAGCAAGCAACTACACTATGTCAATTTATTGATTGCAATATAGACCTGGCCAGCGCTAAGCTAGAAAAACAACACACTGGCAAGATCTTGTGCATATTTGTACTTTTGCCCGAGTAATTTGCCGCGGGCAGATTTCTTTCTTCAAATCTCTTCCCTGCTGTTCAGATCCATCCGTCCTTAGTAACCTGCCCCCTGGCCATGCCCAGCAAAGCTTCAAGAAATCATTGATCAGCACTGAACCATTTACGGATTACAAGCTGCTCAAAAAGGGAGACAGTTACGCGCAGTCACAACAAAAGGGTCTCAAAGTGTGGGTGCACTCTCCGTAATCCAAAATGCCAACTGTTGTGGCAGAGATGTTTCGTGGCCTTGTTTGTGTAGCCTAGAAGACAGCACAATAGAGGATCAACTTTTCTTCACGACCTGGCATATTTCAAGGAAGCAGACTTGGGCTGAGTTCTTATCTGAGTTTGATTTGGGTTATTAGCAACAGGATTTATTTGGAATTACATGGGAAATCCAGATTAACTTTTGACGGATTAAAGAGATAAGCAGATTTGTCTAACAGGTTTTATCTCTAAGCTGATCCACGCATGCCAAATAAGATTTAACTTTATAATATGTGTACTGGCAGTTGTCCACTAACATGACTAAGGACTGTAACTTTAACAGATAGCCCTAAATATTTTGTAGGGAACTCAGTTTTTCAGTTGTGGTACCGGTACATGTAAATCCTATGGGCAAAGAATCAATAGTGCTTTTATTAAATTGTTCCAGTTCATTCAATCCTTCAGCAGCTGCCAGTGCTATATTGTACAATAAAACCAACAAAAACTGTACAAACAAATTCTTAGGCATACATGTACATCGTTTTCAGTCACAGAAGTTCCAGACATACATACATGAAAAGTCCACACGTACATGTACGTGTGGACTTTTCAGGCTATTTATTTTAAATCAATCGAGGAAAAACCACATATTTTAGAATTGTACATGTAAGCAAATTTGAAGACAATCAAATTTCGTAGAAACCAAAATGAGAAGTGGACAGTGGGTCTTTCTTTCCTTTTTTTTAAAAATTGTATGCAAACTTTTGAAAATTATCGCAAGTTAAAACATATCAGTACTGTTGTCTGAGCTACACTTCTAATATTCCAAAACGCAATTAAAGTCGAGAAACTGAACCTCCTTTTAATTATAATTCCTTCTAAATTTGTCATTTAGGGCAAGAATCCAAACAAATTAACAATAACCCGAGCTAAGTGGTAATTTGGTCCCGCAAAAATGCAATTAAAGTAGTGAAACTGAAGCAACTTTTAATTATAATTCCTTCCAAATTTGTCATTTAAGGCAAGAATCCAAACAAATTAACAATAACCGATCTTGGTGGTAATTTGGTCCTGCATTGTGTGCCACAGATCCTGTTCCATCATGGTAAAGAAGTCGCATAGCAACGGTACACAATGGGCCGATCAGCCATGACAAAACCGAGGCATTGTTGGCGATGTTTGCAATGCCCACATGTGGGGTATATATATCCAATACAAACAGTAAGCAATCATCCTGGAAAAAAACCTGCTACACATGAACGATCAAGTACCAGTTTTATTGTGAACACACCTGATGTGTACACAGTAAATTCCCTTACAATTACAAATGTAAATGTTGGCTTTGGATTTACAGTGTATAGGGCCTAGTACTGCTTATAGTTTTCAAAATTTTCAGCGGTTTTTGATGGTTAATTTATTTTCTGAAATACATGTACAATTTAGTTTTAGTTAAATACATTACAGAATATACTGCTGACATGTGTACGAAAATAAACAATTTTGGCACTGTTTGTTGAATGAGACACGTCGAATTCATCTAACGGTACATATGTACAATGTTATATTTTGTTATTTTTTAATTGGCTTTTCCGCAAAGTTGCGGAAAAGCCTTTGTTTTTGTTCTCATTTTTTTTTTTTTTTTGGCTTCTTCTTTTTGTCGCCTAAATCCCATAGACTTTGTGCACGTTTTTTCTCAACGCCACTTTTGGCATTAATCTTTGTCATACATCATTCAAAGTTAGCATAAGCATAGTCCCTATAGCAAAGATGTGTCCCGAAGATTGACGTCATGGTGACGTCATCGACTAATTTATTATAGATTTTTGAATATTTAATTTTTCCCATAGACTTTGTACACATAAATTTTAAAAAAATTGTCGATTTGCAAAGGGCATTTTTGACTCTTTGCCAGTAATTCATTTACACCAATCTTTGTCTAAGCAAAGACCCTAATTTAAACAACATTGTGTAATGATGACGTCATGATGACGTCATCAGGTGTGTATTTATAGGCAATTAAATTGTGACACTTTTAATATTCAAAAATGCATAAGAAATCAACCGTACGCGTCCGCAGCATTTTGTTGCCGGCAAGTGGTAGAATAGGTTGATGTCTTTATTTCATTCAGTGTGCGTGAAATCACGTGACCCTTGCTTCCGGTCGAAAAAGGCCAACACCGGAAGTGGCTTATTATTTGAAAGTGGAAATACATATAAACTAGCTTTTAACGATGTTAGTCTCTTGGCCAATAGTATTCTTCAAATCATCTACCGATGACGTCACGCAATCTTCGAGCGCCCTCTAGCGACAGGTTGAAAATTAGCAAAAATGTATTTTGAATAGATGTCTGTGGCAAAGTTTGTCGTAATCGCCTAAATATTGGTGTATATGATGACCTTGACCCACTTAAGACATGTGCGAAGTTTTAGGCAAATGACGTCATCAGACCGGAAGTTACAATAAAAAGACCCTTTTTCATTTGAAAATTCCTGAAAAATCAACCATGGCAGTTTTTATATTTGTTTTTACTTTAATTGTCGATTGAAGGGTAGGTCTAAAACTTGTCAAAGTTTCGAGGCGATAAGCAAACTCGAACATACCCTACGCACGCTTAAAACCTCACGTTGACAATACCTCTCCTTCAAAACATGCACAGGACAGGACGTCCACAATGTACATGTACATGTACATGCACGTACGTTGTACATAGGCACATACATCGTATGCCAGTCAGCCTGCAGCGCACGTGTTGCTGAGGTCAAATCCTGTCCACAGTGACCGTTTTAGCCAATTTTCAGCTAAGTTTGACAGATTTTATGTTCATGCATGCGCATAGACAGGGACGTATTATAGCACTCTTGGCATTAATCTTTTTTCAGATATCATTGAAAGTTGGCATAAGCATAATCCCTACAGCCAACACGTGTCCCGAAGAGTGACGTCATGGTGACGTCATCAAGTGATTTATTATGGACTTATGAATAATTAATTTTTCTCATAGACTTTGTACACAGCTTTCTCCACAAGTCTTTCCCTATACAACACTGATATATCTTACTGAGTAGTTCTGAACTTCGGCTGAGAATTACTATGAGAAGGAAAAAGAAATCGTATTTTTTTACGCCTTTCATTTGATTGAAAATATTCCCAAGAGTTAGAATAGCAAGTAATATTTTATAAAAATGTTTCAGTTTAAAGGAAAATCACGTATTTAAAGGTGCAGTTTTTCTGCTGTGGGATTTTTAACCTATTGACTTTGTACACGTTTTCAAGCCACCATTTTTATAACTTGGCGATCTGGAATCGTCATCAAAGTTACAGCCAAGGAAAACCCTCATAAAAAAATTCTGCCTAGACTATGACGTCACGATGACGTCATCACCTAATTTTTTATTGATTTATGAAAATTGACGTACATATTGTGAAGTCTTATATCTACAGAAATGTAAGTCCGATTGGGTTGAAACTTGGTATGTGGCTATACCAGGATGTGTTATAGATTAAAAATGAGGTGACGTCATGATGACGTCATCCTGAGATTTTATATGAATATTTATTTGTTTGGACCTTTTAGCCATATCTCCCGAACGCAACATGCAAAATGCAAAATTCTTTTGACAGATTTTATGTTCATGAATATTCAGGGCATATTATTGATTAAAAAAAATAATAATGCGGAAAAGCCCTATGTTCTGTTGCAAACAGACATAGACCTCTAGTTTTTAATTGTGATAGTTTCACGATTGAGAAAGGGAAAGAAAGCATTTTAACCATCAGCAATTTCTTAATACTGCACAAATAATACAAATGTAACCATAGTAACTTCACTGACTCAACCTGCATAAAAGTATGAAACAAATATTGTGCAGATAAATTGGCCAAACCAGATTTGAATTACAGAAAATTCTCAAGTCTCTACAATGACAATTATCAACCGACGAGAACATTAAATTTTTCCTCTTTATCAGAGTCCACTGATTAATGTGCCCGGCCTTTTATTCTCACACCAACACCACTTCTCCCCTCCAGTAGCCTTTACTGCCATTTTGTCAACAGCGTGCCCATTATGATCAGACACCGACACAATATTTGTGGAGATATCGCAAATAGACCACTCATTAATCAAGCACCTAGCGCCCAGCAACGGGTGTGCCTGCTGGTGGGCTACTGTTTGGATGAGTCAAACAAGTAAATGGGGGCAGATAAAAGGTGCTACCGGTATTCTACTCATGAGTAGGGCTGTGCATCGGAACCGGGTACCCGAGAACCCGACCGCCGATGTCAGGAACCGGTTCTAGATTATGGGATTGGGCACCCGTAACCAACTTTACAAATTACTTAGTTACTTCTCAGACAATGAAAAAGAAAGGTTTTGAAGTCATTTGTGGGGAATTTTCAAAATGAAAATCAGGCCACATGGGAAAACAAAACATATTTCACATTTATGACGCTAGTGAAAGCTGCAGTTTACACCGTTAAGGCTCACTGTACTTGTACATTTCATTTCATTTTTTTCATTTCAGAAACATTTATTTCCACATGACTAAGCACTTTAGAAAACAAAACAATTGTTACATGAAAACTACTAAGTGGAGGCATTACACAAGAAGCCGAAGCTTATAAACGGAATGCCTTAAACACACAAAAAATATATATATATATACATGTAAACAATACTGAAAAAGGAAGACTAAATTCAAAAGACAAAACACAACAAAACAAAACAATGAAACAGAAACAGACAAACAAACGGAGTGGACGTAAACTTAATAAACTTTACAGACGGACATACTGGAAACATACTAGTGATACAATGACACAGTTTATAAAATGGATGATGCAAGCAAAAGAAAGCACAATTAAAGCAAACATGTATCTTGCTGTATTGATGCGCCAATGCGGTAGTATTATGGTGCAGACCTTTGTAAACAATCGCAACAGCAACTTCCAAGATTTGAAATTTGGCATGTTTGGCGTTGGGTCTTTATAACGGATACCCACGTACACGGTTTTTTTTTTTCAATCCAGTACCTGGTTCCTGTACTACCTGAAAATGCACACCCCTACTCATGAGGCCTGGTATACTTTCATGTGCATGCCAAAAGTATCCATGCCAAACATTTACAAATCTTCCAAAAAAAGGAACCAATGAAGCATTTCTTATGTACCGGTGTATTTCAAAGATGAACGTTATGGTACTGTCCGTGCAATTTTCCAAATCCTGAAACGTCTTTTTTCCACTGCAATTTTTCTAGCACTGCAAAACGTATTCATTTTTGAATGAGGCAGAGTTTAGTTTTGGAATCACCAATTTCAAAATATTACAAATTTCCTTTACTAAACAAATTCAGACACATTGCTTTGTGCTAACTAGAGCTGCAAAACCAACAAATTATAACTGAAAAACATTTTTTTGGAAAGTTTTATTGCAGACGACAAAAAAATATAAGTATATGTAGAACAAAAGTAGGGGGTTACTTTGGAAAATTAAACATACAAATAAAAAAATTGCAATTACTTGAAGAGCACTGACCACATCCAACTCTGAACTTCCAAGACATTTTTGGCTAAAAATCTTCGTAGGCCATCAGTCTGGGGGTTTGGTCAGTATCAAATTAGGGCATTAATGATTATAGTGCGCATGCGCAAGGTATACCGCCCCTAGAGTGGTAACAAGCATTTTGATGGACATTTTGAAAAAAAAGGGTGATAACACCCAAAAAGCTGCCACCGCTGCAATGCTAACACATATTTTCCATCTCTGGAGGTACATACCTTGCCAAAAATCGCTATGATGATTATATTCCCCTCATTTGATACCGGTGGCCAAAATTTTGGACCGAGGCTGATGGCCTATCCTGAATCCTCCAAAATTCATCACTACAGGAAACTACATGTATGCACATAGTGTACAATGTACATTTAGTCATCGTAAGTTCAGGTACAAAATCAGTGTCCATTGGTCAGCTTTTGTTCAATTCAACATACACACAATGATTGCACTTTTTAAGGTGACAACTGTCATTACTAACAACAAAGTGTTTTTTTATCATTCACGCATGTACATTTTGTGCATCTATGGCTCAATTTTGTTTGCATAATATTTTTATTATCAGGTGCTTATCAACCACAAGATATTGCCCAACACTTCAACAGTCATTACCTTGATAAGCAGCTTGATGTCAGGTTGCTCTATAGATGGGTTAACCAGAAAATTCTTGTCACACTCAGTCAGTGTTGACCAAATGGTTATAAATTTCTCTTATTGCTTGACGAGCAAGGAACACATGCTTGATTTTTTCCAACATCGGTCCAACCGATGAACAATAACAAAGGACAGGGTTCCCAGCACCTTATGAAAGCTAATTCCCTGAGTTTTACCCGATATTACCCCGAGAAATTTCCAAAATTCCATGAGAAATATTTTCACTGTAAAGAGGTTGCTGGGAAGCCAAGAGGTAGTTGCAGCATGGACAATGATAATCCGCAGACTGCATTTAACACTAAAAAGTCACCATGTATAGCTAGTCAGTCACAAGACGCGCAGATGCCAAACTGACCAAAAACCTTCACTGTCACTGTCAAATTTCCTGAGTTTCCCTAATTTTTTGTTCTTTCCCAAATTCCCTAACTTTTCCCTGATTGAAAAATGGAAACTCGTTTTCAAGGTTTCCCTGATCTCCAGAGTTGCTGGGAACCCTAAAGGAATGCTTTTGTCACCTTACACTTGAAAAGACCATTATCATGTTGCGGCCATCTTGATTTTTTTCCCATTCAAATCAGAGTAACCAAAGCGAGGCTAGAAGGAAAAATAGTCTGGCTCTTTTTTGCACAAAAACCAATGCATTCAGTACTGTTATTGGATACAGGGAACATGACTGAAATGGTGGCAGCATGATAAAGGTCTATGGGCTCCGTGCGCTGACTGAAGAGGGCGCCCTTTTACCTAGCAACGACGTCCCATGGACGGGACATTTCGCTGGTTGACGCGCACCGTTCCTTGTGTGTGACGCACGTACACCAGGGGATTTGTACTAGTGGCCGCGCTTCGCAGCAAATGAATTGCAGTCAGGCAAGATGGCGTCGGTCGGTCACCCCCAACTGTACTCTCTTCGCCAGTGAGGGGGTAGTTGTGAACGGAGCGGATAGCTTGAGACTGAAGACTTGCAATGTGAGGTCATGAGGACTTGCAACAGACTCAGCCACAACACTGCTGTTCAGTCTTGCAAGTAGAAAATAAAAACTAGTGGTCTAGAACCCCGTCGGCCAAAGAGAACTTACCTGTGTCAAGCATCGACCCACACTCTTGAGGAACACATACTCAGGGGGTAGCACATCATAGCCCAGCTGCTCAATGATCTGGTTCCTGAGATAGTACAGACTCAGCTCCGGCCATACTCTGAAATACATGAATAAAATACTTTAAATTTTGTACAAAAAGTTTGTTAAAAAGGAAAAAACAAACCCTCAGCATTACTTCAACTCGGTCATATTTCTTAAATATTAGGCCCATGTTTTGTCTTTTTCAAATTACAAAATTTTGCCAAGCTTCAAAAACTCTTCCGACAAAATGCTTTCCATTGTAACGGTATATGAAACTGCAACTTGTGTTGTTTTTAAACCCACAAACTAACTTTTGTGTGAAGGAAAAGGATTCTGTGAATGGATTAAGAAAAACATGAGAGAAAACCAAAACGATTGTTCAATCACATGCACTGCACAGAATTTTGTCAGAAACTGATAAAAGAGAGTTTGGATTAATGACTTTGCCAAAAAAAAAGAACCACACAACACACTGTATCTTTTTTCAAAAATGTTGTTTTAAATTTGTGTATCACTTATATTTTTTTACAATAGTAGACTAGAGACATGAGAGTCTTACCTGAGAAAGCCAGCTGAGATTGTCTGGTGTATGACGTCATTGTAAGCGCTGCGGTATTTCTCATTCCAGACTTCTTGGGGCACCAGGTAGACGTGGAGGTCCACCAGCTGATAACGGCAAAGGAGATGAGAAAAAAACAAATAGTTATAACTTAAGGGACAAAATATATGAACCTCGGAGCTCTCCACTTTATACATGAAAACTGAAACTGACGGTTTGCTAACATCTAGGAATTTTTATTAAGCAGATAATTTGTTCAGGAATGTTGAATAAAAATAGTTTTATTGTTAGCTTAAGTAGAACCCAACCATAATTCACATTTTAGATTTCATCAAAGGTACAATGCTATTTACAATTTTTCACGGTATTTAAAGGGAAAATACAACATTTGCAAACATCAAAAAACGAAATGATCAAATTATCACGAAATAGCTTACTGAATTGTTAGGGACTGACAGTCTAAAGCATCCTTTAAAATCGTGGCTCCTGGTGCGCTGACATTTTCAAGAAAAACTGTATTTTTCCAACGCTGTTCGGCTGACCAGCGTTGGAGAAGACTGGCTTTTTTTCAAAAACTGTTCTTAATTTTTCATATTTAGTTATTCTGACCTTTCTTTGCAATTGATCACACACCTGTGAAGGGGTACAAGCCTGCGAGACTGATTTTCTGACCTTACAATTCCCCAAAGTGAATTAATTGCTTTGTTTCATCTTAAGTTAAGTGGGGTCAGGAAACGAGACTACAAGAACACGATTGGTTTTCTTGGTTTTTCCAGCATCTACATGCCCAAAACATGAAACAAGTCAGTTTAACAATATTTTATATACATGTAACATACTAATCCTCCAAATCCATTTACTTCTGAAAATTGCAGCAAAAGCAAATGTTGTACATTCCCTTTAAGTTTTCAAGATTTGTGTCATGGACTCTCTCTTTCTATCCATACAAATGATGTGATGGCAAAAAGGGGGGGGGGGGGATGAGGTACGGACATTCAACCAGTTTACAAATGGTCAGATAATATGTGACTCCTGAAGTACAAATTGTATGGCAAATAAAAATAATTTGCTTGTGAAATCTAGTCAGGATCAAGGTAAATTTATGAAGAAAAGTTGATCTCAAAAATGTTAATTTTGCTAGAGATGTAAAAGTTTTTCAGCAATTTTCCAGACAGTTTGCTTTCCGTTTCTTCAGGGTCAAAGTTCACGACAAAATCAAATTGACAGTTCAAAAGCAATGTCTAGTAATATGTAGATTGTGTTGGGCCTTGGTGTAAAACCACTTGATCAATTAGCCCCCTTGTTCACAATCTGTCAACGTTATCTTCCAGGTCACACAAAAGATCAACTGAAAGGACCCCCTTTAGACGTGTGACTCAATAAATCATGCTAATAACCGTAAACTGGACTATTATTCCAAATGGGTTTTGACACTTTGTACTATGTCGGATCACATTTACCTATCATTAGCATAATGACAAGTGTTCGCAGTTGCACTTTTCAGTGCCATTAACCCTCAGGACTAGAGATACAAACATACATTCTGCGCAAAGTTGACACCCACTTTTGACAGCAATTTTCACCTACTTAATGAACTTATTTTAAATATGTTTTCACATAGTAGTAAAGTATAGGTCTTTAACCATGCATGGTGAAAAAAGCTTAGTAAAAGTCGCAAAAATAGTGATATTATGCTAATTTGTATACAAGTCACCACAATCAGTCTTGTCCACGGGTTATTCTATGTAAATTGGACGTTTTCGTAGTTCATAAAAATAAAAAAACCTTCCCACCAAAATATATTTTGCCCTGATAACTTTTATTGAAGCTGTCCAATTATTCATGTCAGTGTTAAGATCATCTACTCAATGAGCTCTGATAGCTGAGTTCAGTCAAGCGAAGGGAATGTGTACCTCCGTGGACAAACAGGTTTTGCACATGAAATGTTCAAATAAGCATAGCTCAACGACAAAATGTGCAAATGCAACGATTTTGTCGTCACATTTGCTTAAAGGCCAGTACTTTAATAGCTACTAATCGACAGTTAAAATTAATTTATAAAAATAGGTGAAAATTGCTGTCAAATGTGGGTGTCCTTTTTTTTTTAACCACCCTGTAGATAAGCTGGTGAAAACAACTAGCACCACAGCTAACATAAATTTGCTAATGAAAACAATTATTATGAAAGTGTATAAAATAAATGTTTAAAACTCTTAAACAGTTTCACCAATTTTTCAGCTGGCGCATATACTGTACATGTATATCTACCGTACCAAACCATTTAACTTAGAAGCCAACATAATATGCAAGAAAAATATCCAAAATATTTACAGACTACAGACTTACAGCTTTGCTCAGTTGGTCAGCCATCTGCTTTTCCCCGTTAAACAAAGTTTGAAAACAATTATCCAAAATTAAGCTGATTTTCTCATTTTCTCACTGCTGGCTCGGAAATGCATCGGTTCAAACGGCAGTCTGTTGATTATAGGGTTCCAGCCTGACAACGCATCTCTTTATGCCTTGCCCGCTGGTTTCACCCACTCAACCGACAAAATTCTCATCCAAATTTAACAAGTGGTTACGGCCCATTATTTTTAATGTTCCGTGGCAACCTGTTGGTTCCTTGGCAACCAAAGCCAACTGGCAATTTGCTGAATTTGCTCCGTTTGACTTCATTGACTTGGCCATGAATCATGTGAATTATCATTAAAAAGTGGCAATGGTAGGCAATGGTAGGAGGTGAGGCATGGTTCTGTATTCAATATTTTGACGGTAGCATGATACATACATTGCACTGTGGATTGGACCTTGTATCATTTTTTTTCTAACTTCAAGTAATTATGGAAATTACCACAAAGGGTAATGCAGTAGACTCCCTTGGCAAGTCCAACAGTCCTTATTTATGAGGATGCCAAATTTTATCGTGTTCTCTGAATTTTATTCCCACATTTTAGTCGCAGTTTTTATAGGCCTACACATGTATAGATACATTGTGTTTACATACATGTACATTTACGCGACGACTTTAAGTCGTGTGACTTATCGTGCTTATACAAAAAATCGTGCAACATGTATCAACATTTTTCTGTCTGCAACTTTTAAAAAAGAAGATTTTATCGCGCTTTCAATTTAATATGACTGACTCGTGACTAAAACCTGTAGCATCAGTTTGATACGGTATGTATACAACATACCAATGTACATACGTGCACTTCATGGGAATGCATATGAAGCAAATGTGGCCATGTTTAAACGATTTTGCTATTTCTTTAAATAAAAGTTGAAGTTGAACACTTAGCCCATGGAGGTATAGTTTAGGGGGCCTATTCTTGGCTACTTCCCTTCAGAAAGAGTCAATAAGAAAACTTAACTTAAACATAAAAAAAGAAATTGATTTATAGGAAAGAATTGCATACAAGGCCATTACTCACATTCCTTAATAATATGACCTGAAAAGTACCAAAAGTTGTGAATCTGATGAAGAAACAGTATTTTAGGAGTGCAACATTTTTTTGATAATAGGGGCCTACTCTATTTTTTTTCTGTCATTGCCCATAGACTTTGTGCAAAAGGTCTGAGTGGTGGCCTTGTATGGAATTCTTTCCGATTAAATTCAGGAAATGATTTTGGGAAATTTAATATGTATTTTAAACAAATTGGTTCCAGGATTCGAGCTCGGCACCTTTGGCATTCAAAATGCACATTTAATCCAACAGAGGTACTGAAGCGCTCAATCGTGTCAACTGAAAACCTTCAATTTTTTCATACTTGTAATAATATTACAATTTTACATGTAATCATGGTAATGATGTAGGGCCTAATTAATCAATTTTTATTGTAGGCCTACACAGTCACAGGTCACAACCATTTGTGCATTGGGGAAAAATGTTGCAACCTGACGCCACTTTTTTCTTCATATATCATCTCAATTATGAAGGTCATTCATTGCAAAAATGATAAGACATGAATCTGGGTCTGAGAAACATTTCCAATTTTGTTGGGATTTACATGTACTTTAGGAAATACTTTAGGAAAGTTTTCTTCACTCTCCATAACATTGTCGTTGGAAGTTGCATCAGGTTGCAACATTTTTTCCGTGCAAGTTGATTGAACTTCAAAGTTCAAGGCTAAAATAGCCATATTTTATACCAAGTTTTACTTTAACTTTAAGAAATGTTTGAAATCAAACATGATTGTAAACGTTTTAAGTCGTGCAAGTTCTAACAGTAATGGTGGTTAAGAACACGGACCCACCTCCATGCTGTCACTGAGTGACACAATTGGTTGCCATATAAATTGACCATGCATTCCCTCCCATGCGTGACTACACTAATGACATTAGGAATAGGAGCTACGGTCATCATTCATAAAATTCAACTTAGATTTCAATGCTTACTTGCTCCGAAGGAGGCCTCGCCATAGGAGCTGGTGAAGACGTCATGTTCTCGTACAGTCACTTGTTGTATAACTTAACCGAGTTTTCATTTTGGCCACAAATTACAACGGCACAAAATACTGTCACCGTTCGCGTTTTTCGTCTGACACGTTTGCGATCGGGCCAAGATATATGATATCATCGGGCGTCACTTTCCAACGTGCATTTTGTTATTGTGTACAGTGTGCATTGTCAACGTGTGTACAGTTTCTAAGGGTCCCAACCCATCCTGCAAAAGGTGGTCACGTGATCAAATCTTTCATCACTTTTCTAAAAGTTGTTACGAGTAGTTGATGTAGAGAAATGAAACTAGTTGAGGAAAAAGTAAAACATATTTAACCAGGTGTAATTATAGCTCCAAAAAAAGCTCGGAACATAACATAAGGCAAACTTTGTGCTTTGGCATGATGACAGAAAAACTTTTATTGAGATTGAACCTCGACGTTTTCACAACTCAAACGCACGGGGGCGCTATAACATAACAGTCGGCATAGTGGAGTTTCAGGATAGTGCTCGCCAGATAAGCCCCTTTTATTCTTACAATTGCAGCAGACTTCACTCAAAGGAATTTTGCGATTGAGAAAGATTTAAGAGATTGAAACAACAGGCCCTTTAACTCTTTCGATCTCTATATATTTCAAGTCGATCCTTTCCATGGGAAGTTTTTGAAACAAAAATATTGGGGGGGGGGGTAATTTGACTTCTCTGTCCAGTGCCGGCTAGCTGGTTGCTGGTGTCATTTTCTTTTCTTTGCGGTGGAGCTGTGACAAAAATGTAGGGGAAAAGAGTTTGTGGGCTGTGGACAGCAGTGGCGATGTCTAGTCTAGTCAACGTTGGCCGGGGGGGGGGGGGGGGCAGCAGCTTGTAAAATTTGAATAGCGGGGGGGGGGGCACTTGCTGACTTTAGAGGGTGTGGTGTATGTACACTCCACGTACGCGCTCATTTCTAGCGGTAAAAAGGGGGTTTGAATAGCAAAATATTTCCGGTATATAACACGCGGAAGACAATGGTACTGTGGTCACGGTACAAAACATATGCACCAGAGGAGGATTATTAGGGGGGGGGGGGGACTGAACATCACCACTGCCGTTCCCCGACCAGTCTGAGTCTAGTTTCATCCGTTGTCCGGAGACCGCAAGCTACGCAACGACAAAATGTGAGCATACATTTATTCTGCGACCCCGCGCGCCAGCCAATCGGAGTCGACTTTAGAAAGTGTGACGTCATTTTGAGCAAAAATTCGGCCTAAGCTGTTGATTGTTCAATTGGCTGCCGTGGTTTTGTAATACAAGTACACTCTGCACTCTGTTCATTCGCGATGTAAACAAAGTTATTGTAAGGACGAAAACTCAAGATAAACACATTGTATTGAAATTACATTTATTCAAATATTTTGCAATGATATTTGACACCGGAATCTCAAAAAATGACAGGAACCGTTAAAGAATGAATTTAATATAACTTCAGGAAATTTCAATGTAAAGACACTCGGTATTAATTTTATCGTCATCAATTTCTTCCAAAAGAGGGCGGGCTACGTAAAAACACTGCTCACCGCGCGCCGACTTCTGCCCATTCGCGATGTAAACAAAGTTATTGTAACGACGAACACTCAAAATAAACACATCGCATTGAACTTAAATTTGTTCCAATATTTTGCCATAATGTTTTGACACAAAAATCTCGAGAACTGACAGGAACCGTGAAAGAATGAATTGAATGTAATTTAAGAAATTCGCTGCATAAGGTAGCAGACCAGTAAATAAACTTCCATAGACCCCAATGGTAAATGCTCCCACTTCAGAAATTCGGGAAAAATACTTACAACTCTCCAAGGTGTTCGAGACACACATCAAATTAAAGCTTATTTTATCACCTTTCATTTTCTTTTCAATTTTCGGGGGGTCAACTGATGACTTTTAGGAGAAATTTCCATCCGAAGATGATCACCCCTAAAAATAGTCCTGAAGCCCATCGCCATTTTGAAAAACGATGGCTACACTCCATTGCAAAATAGAGCGCTTTTAGGGTCCAAATTACATCAAAATTACACAGAACTGCAAGCTCCCAGTCCTGTGCACGGCTTCCACCCATATTTTTTACAAACCCTCAAGTTCATGGCCCACAGCATGCTCAAATACCGAAGATTTTGAGGGCATGCAAATCGTGATTTGGCCGGCGCAGGCAATTTCGGACCGATTTACTGGTCTGCACCCATAAGGACACTCCGTACTTCTGTCCATTCGCGATGAAAAGAAAGTTATTGTAACGACTAAAACTCAAGATAAACACATTGCATTGAAATAAAATTTAGTCCAACTTTTGTCATGATATTTGAAGGGAAAATACAACATTTGCAAACATCAAAAAAATTAAAACCACCAAAACATTTTGAAATACCTTGCTGGACTGTTAGTGAATGACAGTGTAAAGCATCCTGTAAAATCATGGCACCTGGTATACTGTCATTTTCAAGAAAAGTGGTATTTTTGTATCAATTTCCAACGCTGATCGGCCGATCAGCGTTGGAAAAAACTGGCTTTTTTTCAAATACTGGCCCCAATCGACTATCGCACTTGTTTGCAATCGATTACAAACCTATGAACGGGTACGAGCCAGCTAGACTGGTTCCCTGACCTTACAATTCCCCAATGTATGTAAACTGCTCTGTTTCTTCTTATATGGAGTCAGGGAACCAGACTACAGGAAAATGATTGTTTTTCTTGGTTTTTATAGCATTTTCGAACCCAAAACTTCAAAAAAGTCAGTGTAACTGTATTTGCTATATATTTCCAACCCCCCAATTCCATCCATTTCTGAAAATTACAGCAAAAGCAAATGATGTATATTCCCTTTGACACAAGAATCTTGCAAAGTGACAGGAACCGTGAAAGAATAAATTTGATATAAGGCAATTGCAGTGTAACTTAAGACACGTATTTTATCGTCATCCGATCAATTTCTCCCAAAAGAGGGCGCGCTTTATAAACATTGCTCACTGCACGCCGACTTCTGCCCATTCGCGATGTAAACAAAGTTATTGTAACGACGAACACTCAAAATAAACACATTGCACTGAATTGAAATTTCGTCCAATATTTTGCCATGATATTTGACACAAGAATCTCGACAATTTACAGGAACCGTGAAAAATTTAATTGAATATAATTTAAGGAAATGGCAGTGTAAGGACACTCCGTACTTCTGTCCATTCTCGATGTAAACAAAGTTATTGTAAAGTCGAAAACTCAAGATAAACACATTGCATTGAAATAAAATTTCATCCAAATTTTGTCATGATTTCTTGACACAAGAATTTTGAAAAGTAACAGGAACCGTGAAAGAATGAATTTAATATAACTTCAGAAAATTACAGTGTAATTATTAATTTAAGGACACTCTGTATTTTATCGTCATATTCCAAAGAGGGCGCGCTACATAAACGCTGCTCATCCACCTGGCACCTGGCTATTTTGTCATGATTATTTGAAACAAGAATCTTGAAAAGTGACAAGATCCGTGAAAGAATGAATTTAATATAAAGAAATTGCAGTAAAAGGACACTCCGTATTTTATCGTCATAAATTTCTTCCAAAAGAGGGCGAGATGTACATAAACACTGCTCACCTCGCGCCGACTTCTGTTCATTGCATTGAAATGAAATTTCGTCCAGTGTATTTTGCCATGATACTTGACTCAAGAAAAATTGACAGGAACCGTGAAAGAATGAACAGGTTACAAAAGACCCTCTATAGAAGGCGCCCGCTGAATGGTCAGAATCCGGAGGTCGAGACGCAGTTTTGTTTCGCATTAATTTAATCACCGACTCTGCACACATATTAAAAATTATGTTGTAGACCCTTGCTGTGCAAGGGGCTATTTCACAGACCACCCCCCCCCCCCGAACAAAATTTGGGAGGATATGTCCCCCGAACCCGGTATCGCCACCCATATGGCTGTGGATATTGCTATCAAAAGAGACTAAATTGAAAAACGAAAGGCATCGCTGCTAGGAATTAGAAACACTTATTCCATGGCTGATCGATTGCCTTGGCGCGGAATGACACCATTTTTCGTGGTACAAACACTAGAAGAGACACTTTCATTGGTTTTGAGTAACTTTACTTAAATCTAAAACAAAACGGTAGTAAAAGTGTAGATTTTAACCTGCACCATTAGTTGACGTAACATACAACCAATTATTAGATGCACGTCTGTTTATTAACCCCCCCCCCCCACCAAACAACAACAACAACAACAACAACAAAAGTCGTCTCGTCGTCAAAGCGCCCAAACCCTATAGACCTTTATCATGCTGCCACCATTTCAGTCATGTTCCCTGTATCCAATAACAGTACTAAATGATAATTTTTTTGTGCAAAAAGGAACCAGACTATTTTTCCTTCAAGCTTCGCTTTGGTAAGTTGATTTGAAAAGGAAAAAAATCAAGATGGCCGCAACATGATGCCAAAGTATTCCAAGCGTGCATGATTGGAGAGACAAAATGGATTGATATTAATTTTTTGCTCATTTTTTTTAATCAAACAAAATATTTAAATAATGCAACGTACTATTGTAGGTCTATATAACAACAAAATAAACGTTTACGCTTATCAATTACTTTTTAATGGAAGTTGCACATTACAAAAGCTTATGATGGACACTAAAGACACAAGAACCAAAACGCAAAGGAGAAATTTACATTCTGAAGAAATGAGCTCACAGGTTTCAGGATTTGAAGACCATTCCACTTATAGCCTATGCATTTACCACGTAATGGGCAAGCATTTTAAAAGTCGTGAACACCGCACTTTGTTCTACATGCGTTGTCATCTGAAATCCCTAGCCCCACCAATACGGCAGCCCGCATTCTATCAACACATCGAGTTTTCATGCAAGCCACGTACACCCGTAAAGTTTGCCACCGACAGGTTGTTAGTCCCACAATGGGTAAAAGAGCAAAAGAACACAAAGGTCTATACAGAAACCATTAATAACCGTTGCTACATTCGTGCCAAATACTGTAACTTGAATCCAACTGTTCGGATGTCATTATCTAAATACTCTATACATTTAACAAAGCACAACAATTCATTATGTGGGCCATGTAAAGCTTCTGAATGCAGTGCAGTAGGCCATGTCTCCCAGAAGGTCCCAGTTTGCACGCTAAGGGGACCAATGTGGGGGTCGTTCAAGTTCAAAACCACCCTTCGCCGTTGTCACAGCGGAACAGTTATCAGCGAATGATTAAACGCGTGGTCCTCCGCTGGTGCTTGGAAACGTGGGTACCAACAGGGGTGCTTACTCTACCCAGTATGGGGGCCAGCTTAACAACCGTCGCCATGGTAACTGCTACATTGTTCGTCCGGGTTTGTATGCACTTTCGAGTTATTTTTAAGGCTCAGCCTGGCTGCAGACAGAATTAAAGAGAAACGGGTTGGAACCGATATTTAATAACACGGAAACACATCAGATACGAATTAACTTAGTTATGCTCGAATACCCATGGAAAAAGTACTTTGGTAGAGTTGACTGTGAGCCGGACCGCTGTTTTGCAATGGCTATTGTGCTCTTATCAAAAGAGGCCATTCATCAAGTTTAAGCAGGCCATCAATCAATTTATCATTCTACTTTATGTTCAAGTCCATATTCAACGTGGACTTTTGATCGACTGGGGAAAAAAAGATAATAAGCGGTCGGTCTTGGTTACGCGGTCACTCGCATAATGCGCGCACTGCATGCAATACGGCAGCAACAGCAAGCTAGGTTTACGGATCACGGCTGTCGTGTGCTGAGGTGTTTTTTTGGCCAATAGTGTCAACCAGAATATCACTACAATATTTTGGATTGATAATGAGGATGTGGTTTACTTTATGATTTGGTGCAAGTTGGAAAACTTTCTACGTGAAGGTAAGAGCTTGGAATATTTGATGGGAGGGACGCAATCGGTGTGGGACCGAAAGTAGGCAAAAATTAAGGAACTACTCAAATCAAAAAAGAAAAATAAGTGCAGTATGGACGTGGACAGAATAGAGAACCAAAAGCCCACATCAGTACAAGAACAAGTGAGAGAGTTCATGGAAGATACACCCACACACACCCCAGAAAAAGGGTGTTTTTTTCTTCCTGAGAATAAAATCTCCACCAAGCTTTCGTTTCTCAGAGTCGATTGCCGTATATAAGTTAACAACGGTGACGAAATATAGATAAAGCTTTCTACGTCTTCAATTTACGGAATAAGTAAGTTTACGGAATAATTCTCAGTGGACATGTCCATTTGTCGAATTGGCCCCCTATTAATTTGCTTATTATCTAGACAAGAAAAGATTGGAATTTTCGATCATGTTATAATAAAGACACTTTATTTTCTTTGTACAAGCTTGTTCAGTCTCGTGCAAAAAACTGCGTCAATTTTGGTTGTGAAAGTCATTATTGTCTAAATATCAACCTGCAATTTTACAAGGTCGCATTAAAATGCGACCCTTTTCATTCTGTTTAATCATGAAGTATCGTTTAGATTTATATTTTGTCAGACGAACAATTCACATTAATTGTTTGCAAACTCCTGCTGGTGTCCAGTTTTGAAGTGCAGTGATTTTGAAAACATCACATCATAACTATTGGCTTGTTGTTTCAATTGAAAACAATATTTTTTTTATTCGTTACACTCTACTAATCTGCCAATGTTTTGTTTTTCCTGCAGCAAAAATTACATATACGATTTTATTGCCAACACCGTGAGTTGCCCTGTTGAAAAAACACTTTGGCTTACAGATTTAATTAGCTAATGCAGAGTATCATGTACCGTTCTTGCAACGGCTTTCGTTGGCTGCTGAACAAAACAATGATAGGCCTACTTGTGATTTTAAAAATGCTGGTGTTTGTTTTAACAAAATACAGGGTGAGGTTACGTAAAAACCATGATTTAAGAAGTGTGCTTTTTAGTCGTCTCACTTGTAGTCTCTCTAAACCGTTATCTGAATTGAAGTGTTTGTTCGTTTATCCCCGCCTTCCTCGTCCGATTTCCTGACGTTTATTGTTCATTAAAAATACCGAAAAGGGCCAATAATTATTTACACCCAACAAAATAATATTCTGTCATATGCTTGCAGGATTTATCTGTTTTGTCAACATCCGTGGGTTGCACCAGATGACGAGTTCTGGTTGAGAGAATCTCTTGAAGTTTGAACAAGTGCACTCTTGAACCTGACCAAACAAGGCTTTCGACCGCTTTTCTGCAGCCATCTGGCGATCTAATACTGTACTTGGACTGGATATAAAATTGAAATTCCGGTAGACTATGACCGAGCACGTAGAGCAGAAACCACGGCGGAAAACGTCCGTGTATACGCGACCAAACCAGGCGGACCTCGTCCACCACACGGGGGTGGATCAGCACGGGGAGGGCGGGGCTAGCCACCAGCTGGAGGGGAGGTCACGGAAGGTGTCTTTCGGTAGCACGGGGAGACCACGAAACATCTCTGTAGGAAGCTCCGAGGGAGCCGATCTCATCATGCGCAACCGTAAGCACAGCGTAGGCGACCCCGACAGATCACGCAAGATCTCCACGTCACGCCGCACGCTCAGCGTGGAGGAACGCGGCTGGGGCACCGACAGCGGCAGCATCACTGCCCGCGGCGCCTCGGCGTCTCTCCCCAAGCCCAACACCTACCGGATGAACCCCGAGCGACCGTTTCGGGAGAAGGCCGTCCGTGAAGTCATCGAGAACGTCTTGGAGGACATGGACGACGTGCGGTACGAGAGCCCCAGCATAATGGCCGCCAAAGCCCGGAGCATCAGCGACACCGTGAAACAGCGAGTCAAGCTGATCGGTTTTGACCGGTACAAGCTGGTCTGCGTGGCCTGCTTGGGCCAGAAGAAGGGACAAGAGGTGCAGGACGTGGGCCGCTGCCTCTGGGATGCCACCAAAGACGGCTTCGTGTCGGTGGCCTATGAGAATGCAACCCTCTTCGTTGTAGTCAGTGTGTACGCTGTTTATCAAGAGTAGAATTTATAAAACACTTTAGCCGCAAAAAATAATAATTGGACAATGACATCATTATACGCACAACGCGACTGTTTAAGTCATTTTTCTTACATGAAAATACATCTTTTACATCTTGTTTGGCATAACACCTACCTACTTTGTTTAGACGTACAGTATGCCGCTGCGCATTGTTGTGAATTAATGTATAAATTCACTGTTGAACTTGTGATCTGTATGTAATCAGCTCCACCCCGAAAAGGGGGGGGGGGGGGCAAGGATTGTACATGCATTAATCATGGCTATTCCTTCTCCATGAATAACCTGTCACCAGCGCTTTTTTGCAGTGGGCACCAGTGAAGAGAAACGCCTGTAGCGCCACCAAGAGCCTACAGTACAATGACAAATTCAAACTCACGCCATCCCCTCCTATTTTTTTTTCTGGTACACTTTGGGAAGCAATTGAACGAGAGAAGGAATATCAATATGCAAGGTAGACCTGAAGTAAATATTAAGATTTTCCTGAGGTCCGATAAGTACGGAGCTTTTAAAGGGACATAGATGAAAAAAAAATTGAAAACATCTTCGTTAGAAAGAAAAAAATCTGCGTTCGAACGAAAAAAATCTGCGTTCGAACGATAAAAATCTGCGTTCGAACGAAAAAAATCTTCGTTCGAACGAAAAAAATCTGCGTTCGAACGAAAAAAATCTGCGTTCGAACGAAAAAGCTGTTTGCTGTTTGCTGTAAGCTGTTTGCCCTCCCTGTGCTGCCCCACCACTTATGTGGGTGATTTTTGTGGGTCAAAACATTCTTTGCCCTGAAAACTGTTGTACCAAACATGTAAAACGTATCAATCATGATGTGACTCATATCATGCTCTTGTAAGTGCAACAGTTTCTCCACATTTAACTGGTTATCCATGGGCCACCAAAAAACATGTCGGGCTAGCCATGGCTATCAGAATAGCCCGACATGTTTGTCGATTGCTATGAGTATGAGTAGGAATCAGCTAATTAGTGAATCCCGTATCTGAAAGTGAGGAAGCAGAAAGTACATGTACATGTACAAGTGTTAGACTAGTAAAGTAGGCTTATTGAAAGCCAGAAATGATCAAACAATATATACATGTCAGTTACTTCTAAAGTTTGGAACTATTACAAGGATTAGGAATGAAAATTTATACTGTAAAGGATTTGTGGATAGACAAATTTCTGAAAATCACAATGACGACCAGTTATATTTTTTACCTGAAAACTTTGAAAGATAATTATATATATAGCCTTTTTAAATTATTTTTTTAAAACTTGCCTCACTTTATAAAAAGAAGCCAAAAAGGCAAATTACTTTTAAAAATGTCTCATAAGTGTGTTGCCTCAGCATAGCATAATGGGTGGGACTGATGGGGTGGGGGGGGGGGGGTTGGTTGTGTTGTAGCTAGTATTGTAACAGGATAGGGACTCTTAAAAAAAGAAGGACAATTAGCTAGATCTTCATTGCAATGGTCAAACTTCATGACCAACTAACAGCAAGCCCTAGTAAGACCGTTTGAAAGCTCATAGACTGCTTTAAGACCAGTTATTGAAATTCCTGTACTTGGGCCACGGACCTACATTGGGCACATATGTCATGCATGTTGGACCTGAAAAAACATGACCAAATCACCCACATAAGTGGTGGGGCAGCACAGGGAGGGCAAACAGCTTACAGCAAACAGCAAACAGCTTTTTCGTTCGAACGCAGATTTTTTCGTTCTAACGAAGATTTTTTTCGTTCGAACGCATATTTTTTTCGTTCGAACGCAGATTTTTTTCGTTCGAACGAAGATTTTTTTCGTTCGAACGAAGATTGTTTTCGTTCGAACGCAGATTTTTTTCGTTCGAACGCAGATTTTTTTCTTTCTAACGAAGATGTTTTCAATTTTTTTTTTTAACTATGTCCCTTTAAAAGCTCCGTAGATAAGAGAACAAGTGATACCCTTTATAAGGAACAATTTTGTTTGCGCATGGTTTGGCGCTTATTTTACGCATTGATTTGCTATAGAGTTTATCATTGGTCACAAACACACCGACCCATACATAGCGCTCAGTAAATTTAGAGTACGTTTATATGTAGTGTAAATTGCTTACTATTAATAAAATAGCTAATAAAATAAAATAATTGTGCTTTATCAATCTGCTGTGTACATTGTAATTATCGCTACCCATTCCCATCCCGCCCGCTGCGAATTATTTTTTCCCCCAAACATCGTTCGGATGGATGATGAGCGCCCTCTACGATACTTTTATTAACTGCGCAATAGTCGTAGCCTTGTTGCCATTTTGTGATTGGACAATGAACGACGTTCATTTGATGGTGTCTTCGTATCTCCAGTGCAAGTAGCTGCATGCAAGTGCGGTCGCAAGTAGTGCTGCTTACGCACCTGGGATCCGTCCGCACTCAGTATACAATACCAATACTTTCAGAATCATTTTAGTGACGGTCTGTTTTCATAAATGAACATCATGTAAAGAAAATAAATTTCCAATTTTCCAAATGATCTATGATTACATCGTGAGATCGTTTAGACACACCCCCATAAATCCATGAAAGTGAATACGGAATTGGAGTGTTTTTAAGTAATTCTTCCGGTCGCATTATCAGTCCTAGCTTTTTAGATATTAGGGAGGTATTTTTTTTCTAAATTAAAACAATGATTGAAGAAAAAAGCAGGGATCAATTTAATACGCATAATATGTACACACAATTAATAAATTTACATTCATAAAATAATTTTTCAAAGAAAGCATGAATATAGATGAATAATATAAGTTTCTTTTTAAAGAGAGAAGTAATTCTTCCATTCCCAAAGTTTATGCACAAAATTAATGTCCAACGAATCATTGCAGATAGCTTGCAATGTTCATTTAAATATCGAGATATATACACAGTAGGGTTTTGTGAAATGATTTTTCTTTTCCCCCTTTCTGTATCATTAGGCCTATGTGAACGAAATGTGTCACAAAAAAACCTGCAGAATCTGGCCTTGTACGATGAACATGTACATGCGGCGCCCGTACGTGTACATGGTACCGTACGTACTTGCGTACATGTACTTCAACGTCGTTAATTGACCAATCACAAAATGGCAACAAGGCTACGACTATTGCGCAGTCTTTTATTATACGTACGCCATTGTATTTTTCACTAAAGGGGCAAATCTGCGTTGGCCCTATAGCCAGATATCTTTCTTAAGACATACCCGTGTGCCAAATGCTTTGTTGTATCATCAAATTTAGGCACAATTCCCCCCAAAAAATGTTTAACCTATCTGCCCCGCTATAAGGTCTCAGTCCCACAACGCACACAATTCTACTCAACGGATTCCCCATGGGCCCGATAAAGTCCGTTCGTTGATGTTATGGAGTAATCATATACGACTGCACTGCCCAGCTCAAAAGTGACAGTCTGTCAGTTTAGTGAGTCAGTCAGCAAGAAAGGTACAAAGAGAACCAGACAAAAAATCATGTACGCAAGAAAGTAATAGGGATCGCACAATCTGCCAACAAAATAACATTCCCAGATTTTTAAAGGTGAATTTTCGATTGTTTTAATTACAGAAAAAAAATGGGGCTTAAATTACAATAACCTCTTAATTTAAAACTTGCAGTCTCCTTATTTTTCTTCTTTGGCCAAACGCTTAACATTTTTTTCCGCTCCATACTATCTTAAATTTACGATCACTTGAAAACGCTCCCGTGTAATTAAGCAAGATGTTTTTTTTAGCAAGATAACAATTCTACTCAATCTTTGTAATTACAGTGATGGTTTGATAGATTCCAACATTTAAAAAGGAAATCATAAAAAAGAAATGCATTTACTGTTAATTTCAAGATTACATTTTATTTTGAGATGATTTCCCACCGTGTGGTGACCCAAGTGAACAGTGAGACCGATTTTATACAAACTCTTGTAGGGTGAACAGGTAACAGGTATATGCACAGAATGGCTTAGACCACGCAGGTGTAAACTGAATGGAAAGGATTATGAGACACCAGGGCGAGATTTGCATGTCAATACAATCATCACTAAAATATTTCGTTCCTCAAACAATCACTTAGTGATTTGGCAAATTGGCACTGAGCGACAAATTACGATAATCCAAAAACGTTTTGTCCTGTGGGCCAAACCAATAATAATTATGCACTGTAAAAAAATAACTACATGTAGTCAGATTTGACTAGAAAAGAGTCCAGCTTACACCCAGCTGACTACAGCTAGGGTCAGCTGGCTGCAAGATTGACTCTTTTGTAGTCAAATTTAACTAGAGCGTTTGCAGGGTTACGGAGATGATCAAACAAGACAGGGCAAGCTCAGTATAGCTGGGGAAAGAATGTTGCAACCTGACGCAATTTTTTCTTCTTCATATATCATCTCAATGAAGGTACGTTATTGCAAAAATAACGATGACATGAATCTTGGACTGAGAAATATTTCCAATTTTGTTAGCAAATACTTAGAAAGTGTTCTGGACTCTCCATAGACTTTGTACACAACCGCTGAAGTGGCGTCAGGTTGCACATCGAAGGAGAGGTTGTTACAACTGATAATTTAGTAACTAACTGATAATGTATCACTAACCGATAATGTCACACAAATTGACCGATAATGTCACACAAATTGACCGATATTGTATCACTGACCGATAATGTAACAAAAATGGTGGTGTAGTAAATGGATGGTGTAGTAAATGTTTCTACACTATCAGTCAATTTTTGTTACGTTATCGGTTAGGACTGATAATGTAACAACAATTGACTGATAGTGTAGTACGTTTTAGTACACTATCAGTCAAGTCTGTGCAACATTATCGGTTAGTGATACAGTATTGGTTAATTTATGTGACATTATCGGTTGGTGATACATTATCCGTTGGTTACTACATTATCAGTTGTAACAGAGGTCTTCTTTCCTTTGATATGCATGAGGTTACACTTTTCCCTTCATTGCCACTAAATTAAATTTTAAAAAAAATTGCCCTGGGACAACAAAGTAGGAATTTCAAGAAGAAAGAGGACAAGTAGGAGCTAGGTTAAAAAAAAATAGCAAAAAGTAGGAAAAGTAGGAATACTTTATAATGCCTGCAGATTTCCACGCTACATAGCTCCATGAATTTGACACCATGTGAATTTGACACCATGTGAATTTGACACCATGTGAATTTGACACCATGCGAATTTGACACCATGTGAATAAGGTCACATCTCAGGATATTAAGGACGCTAAGACAAAAATGAATCGCTTACAGCAAGTAATATGATTACAGTCAATTAGCAAACAGTGGCAACACTCAATTTTCTGGGAGTTTAAATTTTTCACGACTGAACACTGCAGATCCTGCAACCAAATAGATTTCTTACTTGCCCCTTGATCTATTTCACCGGGCCACCAATTTTTTTTCAAACTTGTAGAATTACTTAGACTTATTTTTACATTTCGGTTCTTGTTTGTGACGCCACTGAAAAAATTTAGAATTTTTACAAGCATGCAGCATTTTTTTACAACTAGTTTTGTGTGCTGGTTTAGTAAAATGCTTAATACTAAAAACCACAAAAAACAAGGAAGTTAAATTGCAATTTAGAGCAAGTGTAAAAACTCCATAGGCAGGCATTGAAACGAATAGTGTTTTTCTCTTCGCTGATTAAGGGCTAATTACGTGGAAATTTCTGTGCAACTTTTTAAAAACAGTGTTAGCTCGGAAAACTATGTCTCTAACAAATGCATATTTTTTTAAATCGGTCGAAATGAATAGCACCTACATGTACAACCAATGAAAATCGCAATATAAACAAGTGTCATTATATTTTTAAGTGACTCATTAATATGACAGGCCAAATAAGAAACTTACAGGAGATGTATGGTTGATGCACTTGTTACACCCGATACGAAATAAGCCTGTTCTCAAGAGGCAAAAGTAATTTTGCCATTTCCCTTGAACCATTATGGATTTGTGTACAGTTGTTTCAGGGCTCTTACGATTGCTCGACTGGATTTGAATTTTTATTCCTTTTTTTTTGTAGCAGCCATTCCCATGACAAATGTGGATAAATTACCACGGCAGTGGAGGTCTGTATCAACAAGATGGATCATAACCATTCTTGGCAGCGCCACTTATGAAATTCAGAGCATACCTCACGTGCCGGCAGTAGCTTGAATACTGCGCGCATGAGGTATGCTCGGAATTTCCCGGGTAGCGCTGCCAATATTGCCAAGACTGCATTTGATTCATCTTGCTGACAGCGACCTCGCTTGTCCCGGACCAGCTGTATCAAGACAATAAAATCCACATCAAGTCTCGGACTAAGACTATTGTTCGTCTGGCATCCAGAATCCACGCAAGTTTTTATCACTAACGTTCCCAACGGTGGGTGACCAGACTAATCAGACATTAGAAAAGGAACAACAGCCCAACTCGAGCTTGAATTTCGATTTCCATTTTAGAAGTGCATTTTTTTCTCATTTTCTTTTCTAAAAGAAAAAAAAAGAAGAAAAAAAAAACAGGTTACGGTTTTATTATTTACACAAACAAAAGTTTGGGTGAGCGATTTCAAAGCAAATGCTAATTCTGCTCCTCGTTTTTTTGCTGTAGGAGAAGATTGGCAGCCAGGTTCTCGTTCTTTTCGCAGGCTAGATAAATCTGTAACACCTCCTCTTGGCTGAAGCCCAACGCCTGGAGCTGAAGGGAAATGGGTGGGAATAAAAATAAATCTGAAATCAAACATGCAATTCCAAGCAGCGTCTAACTTTCTACTGCGTTTTTTTTTTGCTTTTCTGTTTACTTTTTTTAAAGAAAAATTTGAGAAGTTAAAAATGAGGAAATCAGTGATCTTACAGTCACAATTCGGGATCTAATTCCGACTTTTTGAGGAATTAATCCCCTGTAGTAGCTTTTATTATAGACAGCATAGTTAATGGAATCGTTTCTGAAATTTTTGAAAACTTTAACATGAATGTTCAATGATTGAATAAATGCTGGAATAATTTTTTTTTTATTAACGAATAGTGAAATTTACAGCACCTCAAGGTTTTCTTGTTGTGTTTTGCCTTTAACACAGTTGCAAATACTTCTGATTGTCTCGAATGTTGTGCTTAATTGTGGCCTGTCGTCAGACTTTTCAAGAATTCAGATATTTATATATCTGGATTCTGCAGAACAAGAGCTTTCCAAAGGTATATAACAGTTAGGATTACTGAGAAATATAGACTGCCAACTAAATTGAAATGACAAAACTAATATAAAAAAACGGCATTCAAAAATCTTGTTGTGTTACAGTTAAGGAGAAGTCAACTACTAAAACGATAGTTGATAGAGCTAAAAAAAGGTGGACAAAGGTATAATAGGACTTACAGATTAAGGTACCCCTGATTATATTTAAAGAGTGACCTTTGACCTTGGTGTGTTACCTTTGACCTTGGTATGTGACCTTTGACATCATTATCATCTGAAGGTTCCCATATTGCATCTATGACCCAAGTTTGGTTCCAATTAGACTTCAACTTTTAAAATGAGACAAATATTAAATGTTCAGCCTAATTTACAACTTAACCTCAGATGACTTTTCACCTTTGTATGTGACCTTCAATATCATTAGCATGTAGACTTTTTAGAAATGGAGCTTTTTCAAATGTTGTATCACTGGGGTAAGCTGGAATCGAACCCAAGTAGAAATGCAATTCTTGAACGGAATCTAAATGTTGGAGTCGCCCTAACCAAAATATCATGTGCACAAAGTCCTTAGACGATACACCACCTTGCGGTGCAGCAAAAGTACTGTACTTTTTACTTATTGGGACACTGCGTCCTGGAACAGCCCAATTGGGCTACAAAAGGCGCTTTGAACAATGATGTTGATCGAAAAGAACATGTAGAAGTAGTATATAAACATCCACACAACTATCCTTTAAAATCTGGGCGTTTGTGTGTTATTCCTGTATCATACGTGCGAGAATGACTTTCGGGGTCCACTTTTGCGACCCCAAAAATTCGAGCTGTTTGGATGCTAGCATCCGTGAAGTGGTCGCCTTTTGCGGACGTGTAAGAAACCACATTTTGTGCAATGGTGATTGGTCCCGCTGTTCGCGAGCACGGTGCTGTATAAGTACGTTACAATTTACACACACAACACGTATATCGTACATTGAACGATAGGAAAAACGTATTCGTACTGCGACATGTCCAATGTAAACAACCAGGGTTTTTTTTTGTCTTTTCTCGGGAACGGTTAGACATTAGGTTGGTTTCCTTTCAACCAGATGTTTGAAATAGGATAAGTAAACAATCCAAAACATGAAATTTTTTGGGGATTTCAGGACCTAGTGCCCCTTTAAACAATTTAATAGCTACACGTACCATTTCGACGGACTGCCTCTCTTGTTCGGTCAGGGAAATATAATGCACCCCGGGGGGAGCCTGAGGGGGGCCTTCCCCTACCGGTCGCCCCACTGGCTGCCCTGCCGTTGTCTGTCCACCACTCTGTGGAGTCGTCTCGCCTGCAGGTTGTGAACCCACCTGGCCACCAGTCTGTCCGGCGGTTTCAGGAAGGGGTTCGTTGAGCATGGCGATGAACTGTTCCTGGTGTTGAGTGATGAGCTGGAAAAGTCAAAAACAAATTTTCAGATGACAATTTTGTTTTTAATTTTATTATTGTTATTATTTATTTCTGGTAATGAAACCAAGGACTCTGCAAAAGCGCGCCAGGCACTGCAGCTCGCAAGCCTGAAAGAAACCTGTAGAGAGGAGACAATGAGAAGAAATTACAGATTTAGAGGTGGGAGGAAAAGCCCAGAAGAAAGTTCTGAGGAAAACCCACAGAATCAGGTAGGGACTGAAAACCCAATCCACATTGGCCCAGGTGGGATTCGGACCCGGGTCACAGCGGTGGAAGGCGAGGATTGTACCACTGCGCCAACCCGACTCCCCTCCTAAACGCAAAACTCTTTTTCGGGGTTCCACCTCCGCCTTCTGATCTTGGAGATGAAATGACGACATGCTCGGGGTGCCACCAGAGACATTCATGCCTATTATACACATGAAAAAGTTTTTAGACACTGGGGCGAACCACTTTGTAAGATAGATCATAAATATTTCACAGTTCTGTCTGTGCGCAAATGAGATTCTCCAGTACCACACGTTGAAAGAATTGACGTTTTGGGAGAATGTTTCGTCAAATCGTTGCGTCAGTGCAACAAGGTCGTAACTCCTTTCTGCACCAAAGTCGTATCTTGCGCGGATATGCTCTGTGTAACAAGGTCGAATCTCGACGTCCATTGACTTTGTGTATACATCCGGGTTATTTTAAGTGAGATACGACCTTTTTTACATTCTGAAACTCGCCTTTCACGTACGGCCATTTTAGGAGATACAAAATATTTCTGAGAATATCTTTTGAGAATATCCGTGAGACTTCACTTGATAAACTAATAAAGGCTTAGCAAGAAAGAAATGAAGAGAAATGGGGGGGGGGGGGAGAGAGATTCCCTGTTGATCCTCTCCAGATTAATATTGCTGCATGGGCCTTCCAAACTTACCTGTAAGAGTTCAGGATTAGCCTGTCCCAGTTGCTGAATGACTGTCTGGAGCATTGCAGGGTCGGTCTGAACGGCCTGCCTCATCTGAATGAACACGGGGGAGTCCTTAAGAAACGCCAGCGGGTTTTCTGCGGACAGAGGACATAACAAGAACACAAAGACCCATGAGGTAAGTTAGATTAACCCTACCTCCCTAGGCATTTTTGCAAGGATGTAGCCTCAATCCTGCAAAATCCTCCAATTGGCCTCATGGAAAAATAGCATATAGCCTCAATCCTGCAAATTCCTCCGTTATTTCTTGAATATGGTCCGTGGAGGGGTGACCACTGCCTGAATCCTGCAAAATCCTACGGCAGTGGCTGTCAATATGTGGAGGCTTGGCCAGTGACATCCTGGAGCAACGCGGAGGATTTCAAGCATAATCCAGGCCTATATTTTTGCATGGCTGAGCAAAAACAACACAAGGTCCGGCCCAAGACCTTGACAAAGTGCATCCTACGAAATCAGTAACACACTTTTGCCATGTAACCTCAATCCTCCAAATTCCTCCACTTTGGCAAAGGGGATTTTGAAGGATTCAGGGCGGTTAGGGTTAAAGTCTATCTTGTGTCAATACGACTCACAAGGCTTGTGTTACCTATCTCGCTCTCGAAAGAAACAAGTAGGTTTACTTCCTATCTCCCTGAACGGGATGCAAGTCAATACTCCTGGGTGGGCAGAGACAAGTGAAGTGGCCATACACCTCCCCTCCCCCCACCCTTCCTCTCAGAAAGATTCAGTTAATATGATAGAAAACACAACGTACATATGGCCAGCAGTTGGATTCAAAGCCCTGTCAATCTATTCAAAAGTCAAAAATCCTTCCAATTAGGCTATCCCCTCGCCCTTTAGAATGAGCTAATTCATTAATTCAGATATTAACATAATTCAGAGATCAACACATCAGAAGAGCTGCCATTATTAGTCCAAACCCTGCTTTATTGTCAAAAGGCAGCATTCATTTCAAAGAAGTTGCTTAACAGTTTTTACCTTTTTATACTGGGGCCACAAGAATTAATCTTTTTTCCTTTTCTTTTTGACTTTTATTAACTCTTTCAGTGCCAAAGTCGTACATGTACGAGGTTTATTTGTTAGTTCGAAATCACTAACCTCGCACATGTACGAGGTAATGTTCGTACTTAAAATTGCTAAACCTCGTACATGTACGAGGTAGAGTAAGCATGTTATCACATGGGGGCGCTCTCGCTCTTTCTAATAATATCATTTTCATTCAGTTAAGACCTGTATTTATTTGTTTCATTCGAGTTCTTGCGAGAGGGCGCAGCACTGACACTCGTATTTTCTGCAAAAAGTGCGGAATTCCCCTGTGTGCAGGACAGTGTTTCACGGTGTATCAATATGTATGTGACTACTATTGACTTTCCAATATACCAAGGATATACCAGAGAGCAACAACAACAATTTTTTTTTTTTACAGAATTTTGAACAATTAACCAAACTGATCGAAGTTGAGCACTTAAGGGTTAAACTTTTCAAATTTCGTGGGCACTGAAAGAGTTAATAAGAAGCTTCCGGAGGTATTTTGGATACAAATAAATAACGGAATACCTGCTGTGCCACCAGTTGATTCTTGCTGGGGCTGCTGTGGTTGCTGCTCAACGTTTGGCATGGTGGGAATTTCCTAAATACAAACAGAAAACAAAAACAAGCAAATTGACAATATTGTTTCATTTCTAGAAAGCAGTCGTCAAACAACATAATTGAAATAGATGTAGCGGGTACAAAGATTTAAAAGAGGCTACCAAATCAAAATGAGATTAACCCTCACCTTCCCAAATCCTCTAATTCCTCTTTGCAAAATGGAAGATTTTGCAGGATTGAGGCTATATCATGTATATGGTGAAAATGTGTGGCCGATTTTGGAGGATGCACTGTGTCAAGGTCTTTGGCCGGACCCTCTGTTGTTTATGCTCAGCCGTGCATACATTTAGGCCTATATAATACTTGAAATCCTCCACACTGATCCAGGATGTCACTGGCTCTGCCTCAACATATTGACAGTGATTGCCAGAGGATTTTGCAGGATTGAGGCAGTGGTCACCCCTCCAAGGACCACATTCAAGAAATAACAGAGGATTTGGCAGGATTGAGGCTGTGTGTTATTTTTACAAGGAGGCAGTTGAAGGACTTTGCAGGATTGAGGTTGCATCCTAGCAAAAATGCCTAGGGAGGTAGGATTAATCAAATCAAATAAGAACACGTGAAGTTGATACTGGGTTTTGCCCTTCTCCAACGTAATTTTTGTATTAACACTGTACAGGGTGGATAAAAAAAAAACGAAACCGTGATATTATTGCTAATTGGAACAGAAGTAAGGCACTTGTAAATCAAAGGGAGATATCCTCTGTTAGGGTTGAATCTCCTCTTTAAAATGACACCCTGGTCATGTCATTACATTCACGATTGACTGAGCAGTGACCAATTTTATTAAAGGGTCTATTTAGAGACTTGCGCAACTTTTCAATTGTGGTTTTTGTGGTGTCATTTGTCACAGAGTGAAAGGCTATGGTTGCCAATCAAGGCAGGTGGGGAAAAAAGAGATTTCACCATGAAAAGTGGCGCAAGTCTCTAAATAGACCCTTTCATAAAATTGGTCACTGCTCAGTCAATCGTGAATGTAATGACATGACCAGGGTGTCATTTTAAAGAGGAGATTCATCCTAACCGAAGAGGATATCTCCCTTTGATTCACATGTGCCCTACTTCTGTTCCAATTAGCAATAATAGGATAATAATATCTCGATTTCCTTTTTTTTTATCCACCCTGTATACTCAGTGTTGTCCGAAGGCTTGCGAGGAAAACAAATTCACACGCTTTAATAATCAGGTGGGACTCGAACCCACGACCTCCTGCTTGACCACTGACCCTGCCAGAGTGCAGCAGTGGTTATCACATCCAAACTTGTTGTAGAATCCAACATAAAATCTGTATCTTCCCGAGGCAAATTCCATCTTATAAAAGATTGCGAAGCAGATTCGTGATTCCGTTTCCAGGTATGGAATAAAGTTGACGTGATTTTGACCTGGGGTTACTGAAGCCTTGATCATGGGCCTTATGCACGAGTCGGCCAAAGTGAATTGAAAGCGAGTTAAAATCTTCATTTTTGGAATTTCCGAAGAGAAATGAGAGCAAGTAAATTACTCATTAATTCAAGTCTGCTTCAATGAATGATATTAAAATTTGTAATAGAACAATCTCTAATGTTTTAAGCCACATTTAAACAAAAAATGACAGTAAAAAAAGGCTGCATAAATAGTCTGGTGCCATCCCATTCAACAGTTAACAATTTATCAAATACATTCAGGGAACTCGACAAAAATGGCCAACTCGTGCATAAGGCCCATGGTTACAGACAAGACCAGACTCACCGTCGTCAGGTACTCCACGGCCCTGTCTGGGTTGTTGAAGCTCGCCTGCAGTGCCCGTTTCGCTCGCTCCCTCTCAAACCCCATGGCCACCAGCTCGTCCAGCATCTTATCGTACTCTGAGCCGGTAACCAGCATAGACTCGGCAGTACTCAATGAGCCTGCCGCTGAACCGGTACTCGTCGTTGTAGAAGAGGAACTGGTCAAAAAAAGTTCATCGATACAGTTAACTTGGGAAAACAACTGAGAAGTTAATACTTCATGGTCAAGCTCAGTAAACTGGTTGCACTACAAGGCACATGCATTATGTTTATTACAGAATTTGCTATGCCTGAACCAAAATGTTTAAAAAAAATAATGAAACTTATTACCCAGTCTCAGTTTGTGATACCTGACATTACAATATCAGTTACTCAGTTGTCACTTGAGCAAGAATGTGACTTGACTCGACTCATCCTTAACCCTAACCCACCTCAATCCTCCAAAATCCTCATTGCTGTTTTGGAGGATTCTTGAAGATTGAGGACGAATGGTGTTTGATTTTGGAGGATTGAGGATAAATGCATTTTGAGGCAGGGCTGTCTGATGATTTTGAAGGATTGAGGCATTGGTTATCCTTCATTTGAACATGAGTGCAAAATTTTGAGATGAGAAGGATACTGGAGGATTGACGATGAATGCATTTACATGTAGAAGCAAGAGTGACTGACGATTTTGAAGGATTTAGGCGTTTTTGAAAGAAAAAAAATTAAAAATTTTAAAAGATTTTGGAGGATTGAGGATGGTTCCTGGCAAAAAGGGCCTAGGGGGTTAGGGTTAACGCAACAACTTGATTCAACTCCAACCAGACAAAGAACTGACACAACAGGAGTTACATAACTGTGGAGCATCGTGGTCCAATGGTTACGGTCTTTGACACCTGTGTGACGGTATGTGGGTTCGAACCCTGACAGGGAACACGAAGCTTGGCAGGGAACACGCTGCTTGTGTTCTTGGGCAAGACACTTTACTACATTTGCCTCTCTCCACCCAGGAGTATAAAGGAGAACCTGAGAAGGTAGAGACCAGATTGTGCTAATCCCAAGCTGCTGCACACACACACAAAAACGGTCTCATGGCCTGATGTAAAGTAAGTAAAGTCTGTCCCGAGCCAATGTGGCTCATCAGGCCGGCGTTTATCTCCGGTTTCAGTAGCATGAAACGACTGAGAATATTTCTACTCCCCCTAGATGGGATGCTAGTCCATCGCAGGTTACTCCCCAGCTGATGCCGGTACCCATTTATACTCCTGGGTGGAGAGGGGCAAGTGGGGGTGAAGTGCCTTGCCCAAGGACACAATATATGACCAGCAGCTGGATTCGAACCCCGGACCCTCTGATCATGAGTCACGAACCCTAACTACTAGGCCACACACTCCCCCTCATGGCCTGAAGTACAGGGGAGTAATTGTGAAGTGCTCTGAGACATTTGTATAAAGCAAGACATTATATGTGTAAAGGTACAACTAAGGAGACACGTTATCGTAATTTCTTGGCACGATGGGAGACATCGGTCATTAGGGAGACATTTTCATGTCTCCCTAATGTCACAGCCACCCTTTAGAGGCACAATTTTATTGTCGCAATTAGAATATTTTTGTTGCTCGTAGTCTAATTAGTAAACATACCAAAATTTGTGGAAAAAGGACAAGCGAATATTGGGTTAGGGCACATTTAAGTTTAAAAACTTTTGTGCACAAGTCTATGGGGATGTCTCCCAAATGTCCAATCCAGGGTAATTATTATTATTATTATTATGACATCTCAGTGACTTGTTACCAAAGCGCAGTTTTGGGTACTGACCGGACGAGCTCTGCACCCCCCCCCCCCCCCCCCCCTCCCGACTCAATCTGAGTCCTTTGAATCACCTTGTTGTGGTAGCTGGCGCATCTTCTTTCTTCTCTTCGGCTGGTTTCTCAGCTGGTTTGGCGTCTGTGACTTGCACCGGGGCGGCCGGCGGCGTTTCCGAGGCAGCTGCTGCAGGGGTAGCTGGGGTTTCTTGCTGGGCTGGCTCCGAGGCTTTTGGTGCTGCCTTTGGCTAAGACAAAGAAGACAAAAAAGAACCACATCATTTCCGTACCATCTACATGCCGGGAGGATTACAACACACAAAATTCATTCATTCATACATTACGGTTTATTACACATCAAAAATATCAAACAGCAAGTCAAAAGACTAACAATGTCTGATTTACAAGTTAAAAACAAATTTATACAAGAGTAAAACAGTAATGACAAAATAAAACAGAAAAAGTTGGCTTACAAACAAAATGTAACTACAATATTGCATTAAAAATACAACTACACATTAAGAACAATCATTCAACAGTGTGACCATGAATGGAATTGGTGACTGTTTATACCTCTGGGTCCTTGATCGGGGGAGATCGAGAAGATGAGAATGTCTAAGGTTAAGACCAGACACAGTCTGACAAGTTGATGGCAGGGGATAATGGTGTCTGTCAGATTCAAATAAAGAGTTACCAAAGCAAACAATTGATTGGTTACGTATGGCAGCAAGTGTCTGAATAGTAAACCTATTCAAAAGGTCAGCATAAGGTAGCAAATGAGGATAAGCTATCAGACGAAGTGCACGTTTTTGCACACGCTCAATACTCAGGGACTGAGCAATTGACACACCAGAGGACCAAACAACTGCCCCAAATTCTAAGATTGGCAGAATGTACCACATCCCATTCCCATCGCTACGCCGCTGCCATGCACATGAGCTAGCTTTAAGGACTGTACTGTTCCTCAGTTCTAGACTGACACACAAATATTCCTACCTTCGTCAGCATGACAACCACAAAACTCTTCTCGTCAATCTTGTAGTCACCGATTTTCTGGTCATCGTTAAGGATCTTACCTTGAATGATAAAAAAAAATATTTAAAAATGTATTTTTTTCCAAAAAAATATTCCACAAAATGAATTTTACTATATACAATGTAATACGCCCTCAGTCAACAACACGCAATGAGATGGTGGCCAAGTGGATACTCCTGTGATCTCGGTTTGCAAAAATCTTGTAAATTTCATCATTTCATGTGACATTTCTGGGATTCTGAACTAACCACAAGGTACCTAGCAATATCAAAATAAGACCAAAAAGCAATAATGCTGCCTCCGATTACATGCTTTTCAAATATAGGGTAGGTCGGTAAGTCTTAAAAATAATGGAGAATTCAGGTACATGTAGTAAACACCACTTTGCACAATGCTAGTCACGATGGGAAATTGGCCAACAATGTCCGGATTTCGCACGGTAAGCGAACGTGATGCGACAAACCTTGAGTCCCGGCAGTAAATCTCAGGCTAATTTTCTGACTGCTATAAGTACGAGTGGTACAACATCAAAATGAATTCATGAACACTTAAAATACCATAGAGCTATATTAAATTACTAGAGCGCTAACTCGTCATTCTGCGCGCGGAGATGCTTTGAAGCCGTCCTGAGCACAGACATTTTGAATTCATGTGCGTGTTTGTAGAACATAATGAAATTAGATGGATTGAATTTTGAAAGTGTACTCTACGTGCAACGCGCAAGTAGAACATACGCAAACAACTTAAGCGCGTCATTGACGGTTCAAAAAAACGTGACGGCAACAAGCATCAGCAGCGAATACGCGCACGCGTTGCGCTGTTTGCGTAGAGCAAAATCACACGTTCATTTGCTGATCGTGCTTTTCGGTTTTGGGCGTATTGGCTTCGATAACGCACTGGTATGGAATACAAACGCAGATATGCAAATAGCCGTACAAAAGCCGTACAAAATGTCTAGGTCTCCATAGGTTTGTGCACAAACATGGATGCGCCCAGCAGGCATTACTTTGTTCACGAAGTTAGCGCTATAGTAATTTAACCCTTACTCTCTGAGGGTAGTTTACTGCATGTCAGTTGGTTATGCCAATGCCCTCCAGCTGCAGTATATTGGCAGATAAACTATCTTGACAGTGAAGGCTCCAATTGGCAGGAGTTGGAGGCCCTGGAGGGTGCCTGATACTGACCAGCTGGGGGCACTCACTTTGTTATCAGAGGACTCTCATTGTTCTCTGTGGCATGTATTGGAGTGCCTGTCCAGTTACCCTTGAAATGACATGGCAGATATTGGAGGGCCATGCAAAAAACATAGGAGATTTTCTTGAGGCACATATTGGCATGCGTTGGAGGGTCAAGTAGGGTAAGGGTTAATATAGCTCTATGAAAAATGCATACATAGATCAAGTTCTGTGAATTGACTTGCAGAAATCTTCTTTCTCCATCGATGTTTACAGGGCATTTTTATGTGCACTCTGCGTCTGTGTACATGTATGTGTCAAGCGCTATCAATGTTGGCCTAGCCTGCCACACAGACACAGGCATAGACTAGTTGCCGCATTTCCATCATGCCGTTTTTGGCAAGTGTGCGGCATGGCGGGAACCAGTACAGCATTGCTACACACGTCTTTTCATCAAGACAAATCGCACAGGGAATTTGCAATTGCGCACGGAACTTGAGGGAACTTGTAAAACCAACAGAGGTTTCTTCTCAACAATAGTGAATGTTATTAAACAAACATATAAATACAAGGGTTTTTGACGTAAAAAGGCTGTTGAGAGGCGTTTCTTGGAGAAGAAAAGACAATCAGATTTTGTTTTATTAGTAGTATTTTTAATTTTTTTTCTTAACTTGCCGATAAAAATTTTAGGGTCGCGCCATAAAAAAAGGGTTGGTCGGGCATCCGGAAGCAGAACTATTTATTTTATTTGGCCTAATACATACAATATGCTGGGGTTGAAATGTTCGTGACAGGAATTAGGATTATAAACGAAATTGATAATTTTTTGCCACAGTGACTAATATGTTTTGGAAGTCAACACAAGTTCTACAACACTGCCAGGACTATCTACGGATGTGCACACCAATTTCTTACCTGCATAGATGAGTTTCTGTCCAGCTGCCGGAAAATCCTTTCCTGTTTCAGCCTCAATTTTTGCTTTTAATTCTTTCACCTACACAAATCATATTAAACACCACCAAATAAAAACCCTGATATGCAAACAGAAATAAACAATTGCACCATGTTCCAACTGAACAATGCTCTCGCACAATGTACAGGGATCGTTCACCTGTCAGTCATGCTGCGCGCCGCATGCCCCGTAGTCTTGGCCCAAGGCCGGCTTTGTCTCGCTGATACTGATAGCGCCCTCTACCGTTGATGCCGTTTGGCTGCGCTTACCAGCGCGCACCCGCACTGGCACCAACTGCACTTAGATGAAAATAATCCAAAGCCAGTGTTGGAACAAGACTACTGGGCATGCGGCGCACCTCGTGACTGCAGAGTTGTAATGACTCGAGTCAATGACTCGACTCGAATCCGACTCGAGTCACAATTTTTGGTGACTCAACTCGACTCGAGTCACAATTTTTGGTGACTCAACTCGACTCGAGTCCTTAAGGGCAAATGACTCGACTCAACTCGAGACGCTGTGGGCAAATGACTCAACTCGACTCGAGTCCCTCATCAGAATGACTCGACTCGACTCGACTCGAGGAAGGCTTTTGAGACTCGAGTCCATTAAAAGCAAAACTTTGCGAAAAATATTTGCAATGACTTACGCCGGAGCCGGTTTTTGTTCACGTCACGTTAGAATGTTCGCGAATAATGTAAACATACATGTATACATATACATACGTGGTTTGATCAGTGTCCCCATTAGTTGAATGACGATCAGCTGGCACCCCCTTTTTATTTTCATTAAGAGTCAAATGTGGTGTCGCCACATGTAGTAGCCTTGATGTAAAATTTAAAAAGCCAAAAAATGACTGTCTCTCTTATTTACTATATAGTGCTTGAATATTTGTGACTTGAATTGACTCAAGCTAAATACAACATGTACTTGACTCGACTCGACTACACACTGTGACTCGACTCGACTTGACTCGACCTTCTTGACCTAATGACTCGACTCGAGTCACTTCTTTAAAATGACTTGACTCGAGTCACAAAAATCAGTGACTCGTTACAACTCTGCATGACTGACAGGTGAACGATCCCTGTACATTGCGTGAGAGCATTGTTATGGTGCAATCGAGTTACACACAAACGGATGTCAAAAAGGACCGGGAGATGACACGAAAACTGGAGAGTTATACTCTTGCGTATTATTTTCTCTTTGTTATTAACAAAGTGAGTGTTTTTGGGAAGATTCCCATATCTTGCCATCAGTAAATTTTCCCTTAAATGACCTATCAGCCATCAGAAAGTGATAACATGTCCTAAAAAGTCAAATTTAGCAGGGACAAATTTTGAATTTTTACTGAGAAAACACTTAGAAATGTTCAGAGCAGTCCCATAGGGTTTGTGCACAGGGTGACAGTGATGGCCAGATATGGGAATCTTTCCGTGTTTTTTTTAAGCATAAATAAACTGCATACGCAGTCTAAATGAGAAAATAAATTTGGTACCAAGTGTCACTGCTAACTAGTCCTAGAACTATGTCAGAGGCTCGGCGTGAGCGGAGCCTCATAGATACAGAACCCCGCAAAATTGTTTGCAGCATGAAACACCAATTAAGTACAAAAACGTCCATCAAAACACAGACATTTCCCACAGAACCGCTGCACAGCTTGCCCCTAAACTCCACACAATACCTCATGACATACTCACATAGGTTGCGCAGAACAAACATAGGTGGATTCTGTCGGTTTTTAGGCCAAAATGATGAAAAAATGCCCTTTCCGCACTGAGCCAACCCGACACTTGAAACGTGCACGCAGAGATGATCGATCAATGATTTTCGGTTCGCTCAGAGCGCGCCACAAGGGGGTACGGTACAAGCGAAATAATAGTATGAGCATGCATACAAGTGCAAGTACCGTACCCCCCGCGGCGACCTCCGAGCGAGCGAACCGAAAATCATCAATCCATCTAATCTCTACGTGCACGTTTCAAGTGTCAGGTTGGCTCAGTGCGGAAAGGGCATATTTTTCATCATTTTGGCCTAAAAACCGACAGAATCCCCCTATGTTTGTTCTGCGCAACCTACGTGAGTATGTCATGAGGTATTGTGTTGAGTTAAGGGGCAAGCTGTGCAGCGGTTCTGTGGGAAATTTTGTTTGTTTTGATGGACGTTTTTGTACTTAATTGGTGTTTCGTGCCGCAAACAAGGCACAATTGCAGAATACCCGCCACTCACCTACCCCACCTCGTATCCGGATACGCGGATACGGAGTCACGCTTGGATGCTCAACCAAAACCACACGCGTGCGCATCCGCTAAAGTCCACCCCGTATCCCCATATCCGCGTATCCACTTCCCGGTACCTACTTTGGACTTAGACATTTTTCCCCTGCTCCCCATTCCATGCTCCCTGTACCATGCATTTATCGTCAGGGGGCCATGTGCACCGATCTCTATTCAGGATCTACGGCACAGGAAACAGCCGTCGCATTTGCAACTCGCGCCCTCGCGCGCTCGACAAGCAATTTGCATAAACGCGACGTCACAGCTTGAGGTCATCTCTTGTCACATTCAAAATGGCTGCCATCACCAGACGTTTCACGAGTGCATATGGGCTACAGAAAGATTGAAGAATATCTCAGAAACTGGAACATCATTAGACCTAAGCATCCCAGAAGTGATAGGTGAGACATCATAGAATACAACCATAAGAAAGTAAGAAACTGAGAATGTAAGAAACGGACCGCAGATTTTATGAAAACTTCGTCCTCAGTAGCGCGCGGTACCACGGTGTGTGGCCAGAGGTTCAGCGCAGCATACCGACGGCCACACTAGTGGGGCTAACGTACGTACACACGCGCCATGGCGGACGTACGCCGCATGGCTTAACAACACAGCGGCGACGGCATGTGCGTTCGAACACGGCGTTCATGCTTGGTTCTTTGCCCCCTTATCCTGCCCATAATGCTTTGCGCAGCAGTGTAATTTGCTATTTGCGATCAGGCTTATGGAGGTAGCCCCATCATGCCCATGGCCTAACGTTCATGACATGATGACGCTAGTTACTCCACATGGATGGCCCAGCTGCCCAGTACTCGGACATGTCCGGAAATTGGGCACAAGCTGCACAAAGCGAGTAAAAATACTGTACCGTTAACGACTCCTCGATTTCCACCTTAAAAGTCTTCTGCTGAAGCGTTTTCAGTGTGATGAGCATTTTCTCTGTCTCTGTTTGATGGCTACATTCAAATATAAAGCCAAATTTTCCCTCGAGTTTCGCAGCGATGTTCGATTTCGCACACAATGACCAAGTAATATTGAACACACGTATTCAATATACATTACCCAAAGAATACAGGGAACCGGACACTAGTCAGTCAAGATTTATGTGACGTCATCGTTCTACACAACCCAAATTCATCCGCCAACCATGACGAAAGACTAGTACTACGTTTTACTGAATGTTAACATCTAATACATTAAAAATGCTAAGATTGACCATTTAAATGGTTTCGGATATTTTATCGTGGGAGAGTTGATATAAAATAAAAAATCTCGCTGCGCACTACATCCTTGTGCGTTTTGGCAACTAGTCTGGTTCTCAACCTCGTTCTCATACAGCTAGCCTCGTCCTCAACGAATCGTGCACGCGCCAACAACCACGTGCACTATGTTCTTTTCATCATAAGGCATTGCATTGTTGGTAGAACTCAATTGATAATGTGAATTGACTGGGTCGCACCAACGGGAAAGTATACCCTGGGCTACGCCATTAAGCCCATTAACTTTTAATCATCATCTTTTCAATCAGAGCCATCAAAAAACATGTAAACTCTATGGCAGTCATTCAACCTTCCCAGGGTCTACTACATTTTTTTTTACACCAGAGCAGCACGACTGGGGACGATATTGTGCATCATCAAACTGGGACATTTTAATACATTTCGACTTCATTCCAGATGTGGCATCGTGCCCAGGTATCAGTTGGGTCCTCTTGTCAGTCTGACCACCGAGAAAGTTGAGGCAGTAATGTTCATGTTGACCTTTTGTGTGTTCGAAGGTGAACTCGCAATTAATTTTCGGATAGTTCTATAAATTTTGGCAGACCCCATGGGGTATAGACCGTACAACTGAATCTTTTGCAATTCCGTCTGAATAGGTGTTCAACGGTAATTTGAAAACGTTCCTCGCTCAATATGAATGGATAACAAAAATTGGGGGATATGATACAGGCGCGGTTCTACCTGGGGGGCTAGGGGGGGCTTTAGCCCCCCCCCCCCCCCCTCAATTTTTTTTTGTCTAGCCCCCCAAAAATAAATTCTGTAAAAAAAAATTGCATTAGCAAAAAGAAGGATTGTGATGTACATGCGAACGGTCTCCCTCTAAAGAAATAGTCGTGACAAGGGTGCATTTGTAGTTTTAATCATTTGTTTTAATCATTTGTTTTAATCATTGTTTGTAGTTTTAATCATTCACACATCATTCACATTAAAATATAGTGTGAATGATTTTAGGATTTTATTGGCGCTCCCCATTGAAAATATGGCATGAGCCCCCCCCCCCCCCCCCATTGTTTTTCGGAGGCCTAAGTGTCTGGAGAAAAAAACCGGTCTACATTTCAGCACGCCTCCCTGAAAAAAATTCTGGATCCACCCTGCTAGCCCCCCCCCCCCCCCTAAAAAAAATATTGGTTCTAGAACCGCGCCTGATATGATAGCAGTACATTGTCTGTGACTGATACTTTAAGAATGACAAAATGGTGCTGACGGGCGAGTATTATATAGAGAACGCCAATATTAATAGTTACAGTCGAACACCTTTGTAACGGTCCTTGGGACTTACAAATGACCTTGTTATAACAGTATCTTCTATTGGAAAACAAAGGAAAACAAAGAAAAACAAACTTATTATCAGTCTTCGACTGTACATATCGAGTTTGACCTCCACCGAAGTATAATTTTATGTATTAATTAAAGGTCTATTAATCGTAATTGATGAATAAATTACATTTGATGAATTAATTTTAATTTGACGGGTTAATTTTAAATTCATGAATTAATGAATTAAGAGAAAGTTGATGAATTAAATTTAAACTGATGAATTCAATTTTAAAATTTACAAGAATAGATGCAATATGACAAACATAAATAACGATGATTGTGAAAGAAAGAACTTCATGGTTATTGCTTCAATAATTAAAGGAAACAAGAATTTGTACCAATTCTTTTGAGGACTATGCATGGAAAATAGTATCTAATAAGTATAAGTTATTAGTCACAATATATATCTAATCTGTTATATACCGGTGCGTGCTGGTGTATTTTTTTTATTAAAGTTGTATAGAAGTTTATAGAGAACAATTTTTAAAAATAAATATACTGAAATTAAATGAAATTATTGTGTATTGGTGCATACGTCATCAGGCTGTAATGAACATCTCTGAACCCAACCAACGTGCGGTGTATCTATTATCCATCCACAATGATGTGAAATACCGAAATAACTACATGGAAATCATACTAGAAATACAACAGCAAAAGTTTGACAACTATATACTTATTTTAAAGTATAACATAATCAATCTCATAACGTCTGTCCACTTTAATTACCAAAACTTGCCCACTTATTCAATTATAATAATAATAACAATAATAATAATAATAATAGACCATTATCATGTTGTGGCCATCTCGATTTTGTCCCATTCAAATCAACCAAAGCGAGGCTGGAAGGGAAAAATAGGCTGGTTCCTTTTTGCACATGAAACATTATCAGTCAGTACTGTTACTAGATACAGGGAACATGACTGAAATGGTGGCTGCATGATAAAGGTCTATAGTATGGCCCCTTGATAACTCCGCAAATGTGACGTGTCTATCTGATATGGGGCTGAAAGTTTCAAAGAGCAGAGTCGTAATCTAGTCAATCACAGGTCAATCACACGTTGCAGACAGTCTGTTCGGGGGTTTAGGATATAGAAGAAGTGAGCTCTCTCTTTTAGGGACGATTCGCGAAGTCTAGGTTGGCATCTTCGTACAGGTATACTGGGGCTCGTTTGGTCGATCGCGGCAGCCAAGGTTTATAGGTGCAGCCTATATAATGTGCTTGTGACAATTGGCAATAGACCATTATCATGTTGAGGCCATCTTGATTTTTCCCATTCAAATCAACGTAATCCAAGCGAGGCTGGAAGGAAAATAGTCTGGCTTCTTTTTGCACAAAAAATATTACCATTCAGTACCGTTATTGAATATACAGGGCCTGGGAACATGACTGAAATATGGCAGCAGCATAAAGGTATATCCGGGAAGGATGTGGTGGGCTGGTCGGAAAACCCCAGATCCTAGAAGATATAGGAAGTCTGCGATATAATAGTTTCATAAAGTTGAATTTCTAAATTCGACTCCTGAATGTTTGGTCAACATTCCTGCTTACTATGACCCGTGATGATTTGATTACAACCATGCAAACTAGGGCAGACAGAGCAGCATCTGCTGGCCGCGCACTTTGTCATCGTAAAGATGAGTGTCATAAGTTACGACGGCAAGCGGCTTAGCGCATCCTTCGGGTATGGAAATATCATCAAAGGAGTTTTCGAAGCAAGCCGTGTATCTCCGTGAGTAGTCGAATTCCCAGCTTGCTTCAGAGTCGAAGGATTCGCACCATCGATACTTCCCATCCAAGTCGTCTGTGAATTAGAGAGAGAAAAGAAAGGGAAGAAGACTCTATAAGGCCGACAATGATGCAGGGTGGCGGTTCGGTTTCTCATGCATCTTCTGATTTATAGTCCATATACTAATGCCTTGCTGCCAAAAACGCAAACCATAAGCTTTACAAAAGTGGTTTCCTTCCAAACTCATGAAGATAAAATGAGAAGTGTAGCCCTCATTGGCCTTATTCGCGAGTCGGCCATGTTGAATTGAAAGTAAGGTAAAATCTTCATTTTTGGAACTTGCGAAGTGAAATGAAAGCAAGTACATAAATAATTGAAGTCTACTTAAATGAAAAATTTAAAATTTGTTATTTTAACATTCCCTAATGTTTTTAGACAGTTTTTTTTTAAATGAAAGTAAAATATGCCTGCATAAATGGTCTGGCGCCATCCAATTCAACAGTTAACAATTTATGAAATACATTCAGGGAACACGACAAAAATGGCTACCTCATGAATAAGGTCCATTGGGATTAAATCTGGGGTCAATAATACTATTGGAAGTCGCGTTTATATCAACCAGTCCAGGCCTTTTGACAAGACGCAAGCGTGACTTTGGAATTCAAAATCGACTGGCGATAGGTCAGGTGAATGATCGGACTATACACAGTGTAACTTGGGGATGTGACGGCACAAAATGGAGACAAAATTTGAGGCTGCTCTTTTTACAAAGCGAAAGACACTCTCAGTTAGGTCGTAATACAGTTGAGGTTGCACAGATTTTTTTGTAACCCATCCAAATACACATCCTGCCACGCAGGCCTGTCTTTCAACAAAGCCAATGTAAAGGAACCAATCTGCACTTACCCTGAAAAAAGCTCCAGTCTTTACTTTGTATCCCTTCTCGAACACTGACCTGGAATTTGTAAGGGTCCTTCGTGTATTCGAAAACTGCAAATAATAATTGCAGTATGTACATGCGTGAGATTAACGTTAAACAAGCTTTTTAACCCTAAAAGGGCCGGGGCGGAATCCGTCCCCCCCCCCCTCGACTTTTTCCGCGATAGCCTTTAAAAAAAACATTTCGCGACCCGAGCTGTTATGACTTTTTAGCCTCAAGCCTTGCGCATCTTTTGACACCAAGAATATAAAAATCGGACCAGGGGTTGTCGCGCAGCGAAAAATTTTCCGGCGCTACGCGCCGTGAAAACTGAATTTCCCCATATACGTCGTGTACACAGACCAGAATTACCATTCGTACATATGAATAATTAATTAGCCATAATTCCAAACCCCTTTGACCTATAGTCATGATATTTCTTGAGTATGTTCATGAAGAGATGCTCTATGCATGTACCAAGTTTCAAAATTTTTCGTTACTCGATGGCCGAGATCTTAGGTGGGGGGGGGGAACCGAAATCTGCCCCCCCCCCCCCCCCCCACCGGCTGAGAGATGGTCAAAATAACCCGGCCCTTTTAGGGTTAAAAAAAAAAAAAAAGGGTTACCGAAATGTGGTTATTCTTAAACTAAATGACAATGAAACAGCACGCTTGTACAACTGTTAGTAACATCGCCACCGTTGGTCACATCTTGATCACGGCAGTATAGCTTCGGTTAATTTCGTCTCAAAGCCTGTTACCAATCCAACAATTAACAGTATCAAAGCCATGGACAGATTCCCTGTTGCCCTATCAGGTCTAATGCATACCATATTGAGCATCGGTGTTACTTACCTGCTAAGACCTCACGACTATTGAGGGACACAATAACATAGTGTTGACACAAATCCATAGCGTCGTTGCATGTCATGTTGATGAGACTAAATCCCTGATTTGGGGAGAGAAACAAAAGTATTTAGATGTAAACTGTCTTCAAGTTATAGACCTATTATACAAGTTAAACAAAGTCTCACTCCGGAATAGTTACCAGATTTGCATCACTGTTTTCAGCTTCCCAGTTACTCTCCACTCGACTGATAAGCACCAGACATGTAAGCAGGATTCGGAGCATTTTGGTGACTGATCAGTATCAAATCTAGCCATATGGGAAAACTGAGCACCAAACACCGATGTGTACCGTATAAATGCTGGGCCAGCTTGATTTTTTTATAAAGAATTACTGGCATAAATTAATTGTGGTTTAAGGGCTATATCAGCGTAGCTTGTTCGTGAATTCTCTGTGTTAATCTGGAAGCTACTTGTATATTCTAATACAATAGTTGAAGGGCAATTGCATAATTCACTGCGATTATTATACAGAGTTATAAATTTGTTTCCACACAAGTCCATTGTATACGCAAATTACCATAATCTTATTCAAAAGAATTAGTATTGCAATGATATGGTGATTCATATCGTGGATAGTTATAAACCACAGGTCAAATTTTGATGGTTTAGTCTATAGGTCCGGGGGAGACGCCAGATAATCGAAATAATTTCGGACTGGCCTCGGGTTTTTTGGCATCAAAATTCTTAATGTAAACGTCAATTTAGTTGTCGAATATGCAGTGGCTTTTGAGTACTTCAAAGCATCATTCAACGAATAAATAATCAAATGCCAATTTGAGTTTTTATTAAGTTCAAATGCACTGTAAGTTGCTAAAAGTTCACAAAGTGCAGCAGTTAAGCATAATACGTGTACTGTGTGAGTCAAAAAATGGAAACACACAAATTAGGACCATATTTTCAATGAAGTTTTTGTGATGTTATTTTAATGATTTGAGGTCAAGTTTACCACTTGAGATCATTTGGGTTAAACCTGGTGTTTCTGGTGCGTCATTCCATATACAAAAACTCTTTCCTATTAGCTGCACATGTCGGAAAGTTTGACATCTCTACACATACCACATAAACAATCTTAAATTGGAGCGAAAAAAAATGTCCTAAGTTATTGTAAGGATGAACAGGCGCGTGTACGGTGGTGTGTGCCCGCCATGCTGAGGATGGGTGGTGCTATCAACCAACGGTCGTTTCATTGGCTTCACCACCCAAGATATTGATCACAGATAACCGAGGCTCAGGGCAACCTCTCACTTGGTGAGTTCCAGTGATATGCCCAAACCGTAAATATCCATTTCTCGCATGAAACCCTGCAGTGAAGCGGGCTCATCAAGCTTGACCTCTCCGACACATCAACTCCAAAGCTACCTGACTCTTACATGACCCAGCCTCCCCCAAATTGAACTCTTGTCTTTGCACCCAGACTTGACAAGCGAAGTTAAGCCATCCCTTGATGTGCGAGTGGACAAGGTCAAGAAAGGATGAGGCTTGGATGGCACATGTACCAGCTTACTGAAGCAACGCAGGCCTGCAGATGGTGACATCATCACCTGATTGGGATACAATTAACTCAGTGCTAGCAAAACGAGTCAGCGAAGCCCCTTGCCGAAATCGGCATCTATGCCCTATTAAATTTTTCCTACACAAGGCTACATCCACATCTTCAATGTTCAAGCACGTGAAGGAACTGACGATGCAGGGCACTGAATTCCTCAATCCAGGCCAGACCGGCGTGTTTGGATCAGTCACTGTATGATATCATCAAGCTGCTCTCAAAAGTCAATACCACCGAATTTTTTTTTAGGAGAAGACAAGTTTGTACCTATGATGGGCGTGCAGCGTGCTGCACATTGAAGACATTCATCAATGTGATAGGGAAGCACCTGCCTCACTCTGGGCATGGAGGATGGGAGGGCCACTGTCCTTTCTAATGCTGAGGTCCTGACATTCGCTCACAGTCTGAACTCAATGAGCATCACATCAGCCGCACGAGGTACGCCCATTTAAGTCTCTCTCACGTCACTTTACCTGGTCAAGCAGACCGCCTACTCAGAGCATTGTAGGAATGAATGGACACACCGGAGTAATTTGATATGCGACCCACTGAGCCTGAAGGATTGAGAGTCACTGCAATCACTTCCGAGATCATTTCAAGCTTGTTTTGGAGATCCTCGGCCTATTGGAGCTCTGGGTGGGCTTCAGAAGTGGTGAAAAGTACAGTGACACTAGTCCATAGCATCTACTCCGATCTTGGTCTGACAAAGTCCTTGGCACCACCCCTCTTCCAAAGCCTAACATGGTGCGACACGACTTGCTTCGCCATGTCATGCAGAGCAAGGAGGTGGTGCAGCTGCAGGTGTCAAATGGGCCAGGTATCGCTTCTTCACTACTGAAAGCAGCTTGTCGGAAGCAATCCAGCTACCTGCTGTGCTGTTTGAACATGTAAAGCAACCGCTACTACAGGCCACCTCGGTCTAGCAGGAAATTCCTGACTTCATGGAGTGGGGCTGGCACAAAGATGGTACCAGTACATGGCAATCACTATGGACCACACTCTCAATGATGCTTCAGTGGCATGCGCCATTCTCTTGCACTGCGGCTGGCTCATGCAAGGGAAGGTAGAAATGCAACCACACTGGGTTTCTATATGCAAGGTCCTCTACAAATCATGGAGAAATGTGCATAATTGGACGGTGGTGATGACCAGTACAGTACTCATTTCTGGCCGGGCATCATAGAGGGCGGGCCAGAACGTATAGGTGGTAATATCATCATATTGTAAATAAACAGCTCCATTCAAACGCACACAGCGGCATATAGCATTTTGTCACTGCAGATATCATCCCCAAATATATTAATAAACATAGTTAAAACAGTAATCTTTATTGAAAAGTCTGATCCCTAATGAACTTTAGGGCAAAATGTGACCTACAATCTTTAATAAAGCAATAGATTCAGATTCTCTAACCCTGAAAACCCCTGTAAAATGGTATTATTAATGCTTCTAGCTCGTTTAGTTTTTAACTGTGACTGACCTCTATAAACTTGGCTGGCAGCCATATTGGATTTTTCCAATATGGTGGCCCCCGGGGCATCCGTCTTGCATCAAATCATTAAAATAACCTCAGATTCATATTCTTTGACACCGAAAACCCCTCCAAAGTTGTATTACTCATGATTCTAGCTAGTTTAGTTTTTTAACTGCGGTGTGTGGCGGCCATTTTGGATTTTGCCAATATGGCGGTCCCTTGGGGCATCTGTCTTGCCTCAAATCGTTAAAATAACATCAGATTCAGATTGCTCGACCCCGAAAATACCTGAAAAGTGGTATTATTTATGACTCTGGCTCGTTTAGTTTGATTGACCTCTGACCCGGTTGGCGGCCATATTGGATTTTGCCAATATGGCGGCCCCGTGGGGCGCCTGTCTTGGCGCCCGTCAAAAATCGAAATAGTATGGTATGGACGACATCTGTGCCGAATTTGGTGCTTTTGGAAGAATCTGAACCAAACAGCCCCTATAACGCCCTAACATCCCTGACTTATGCATCTTAATACTCGAAATCTATTGCCTACTCAGCAAATATAATAAAAGACGTTTACATTAGCATATTTATGCGAAAACAACCCCGACTCATAAATTATTTCGATTATATGGCGCCTCCCCCGGACTTAGACTAAAAATCATCAGAAAATTGACCTATCCACAATTATGAATCACTTATTCATTGCAATACTAAATCCTTTATTGAATAAGATTTCTCTAATTTGTATTAAATATCACAAAAAGTACCTGTATTGAAACAAATTCACCACTCTGCACAATTATCATTTGCAATTTCTCTTTAATTATTGCATTAGAATGTACAGTGACCTCCAGTTTGACACAGGGAACGGACTAGCTACGCTGATATAACTATAAAACGACAAATACTTTATGCCAGTATTTATTTATAAAAAATCAAGCTGTCACCGCATTTATACGTAATTCCCGGGGTGGGGTGGGGGTGTATACCCCCACACTTGTTGACCGCGGGGATGGGCTATGGAATCATCCCCCTATTTCGGATAGTTTGGTAGACCCCATGGGTATAAACCGTACAACTGAATCTTTTGCAATTCCGTCTGAATAGGCGTTCAACGGTAATTTGAAAACGTTCCTCGCGCAAAATATGAATGGATAACAAAAACTTGGGGGATATGATATAGCAGTACATTGTCTGTGACTGATACTTTAAGAACGACAAAATGGTGCTGACGGGCGAGAATTAGAGAACACCAATATTAATAGTTACAGTCGAACACCTTTGTAACGCTCCTTGGGACTTACAAATTACCTTGTTATAACAGGTATCTTGTATTGGAAAACAAAGAAAAACTGACTTATTATCAGGGTTCGACTGTACTTATCGAGTTTGACCTCCAACGAATTATAATTTTATGTATTAATTAAAGGTCTATTAATTTTAATTGATGAATTAATTACGTTTGATGAATTAATTTTAATTTGACGAGTTAATTTTAAATTCATGAATTAATTTAGATTTGATGAATTAATTTTAACTGATGAATTTCAATTTAAAATTTTACAAGAATAGATGCAATATGATGACAAACATAAATAACGATGATTGTGAAAGAAAGAACTTCATGGTAACTATGCTTCAATAATTAAAGGAAACAAGAATTTGTACCAATTGTTTGAGGACGTTGCATGAAAAAATAGTATCCAATAAGTATATGTTATTAGTATCGTTTTGGTTTGCAGTAACACCATGTGGTAATAACTACTGCTTAGAAGATATTTAGTTCTGAAAAGAACTTGTCCTGCTTATTATCAACTTCGCTAAGTAGTTTTTTGTTCTGATAAGAACAGTCCTGCTGTAAGTTCTAAACGAACTTGTCTTTGGTCTCAACGTTTCGACTAGCCTGCTCTAGCCATCGTCAGATTTAATAGATGGAATAGACCTGACGATGACTAGAGCAGGCTAGTCGAAACGTTGAGACCAAAGACAAATTCGTTTAGAACTTACAGCAGGACTGTTCTTATCAGAACAAAAAACTACTTAGCGAAGTTGATAAAAAGCAGGACAAGTTCTTTTCAGAACTAAATATCTTCTAAGCAGTAGTTATTACCACATGGTGTTACCGCAAACCGAAACGATACCGATACTCCACCATGCAAAGCCTCAAATCTTATATATGTTATAAGTAACAATATATATCTAAGCTACTCTCATGTAAAATACCGGTGCGTGCTGGTGTATACAGTGTAAGTTGTATACAGAACTTTATATAGAACTATT